GTGCCGGCTGCGTCAGTTCCGATATCTGAAGCAGCTGGCCTCCGTATCCGTAGCTGTGCAGAGGGTCGCTTTTTGCGGCCGGCTTGGTAGCGGTGCGCCCTTTTAGCTGCAAAATGCACGACGGCGTCGAAACCAGTTACCTTCGCGACCCGAGTCTTTTGACTTACATGTTGAATTAAATCAAAAGCTGCTTGGGGTCCTGTAGAACCCAGGGCGTTCCCAGGAGCTGCTTGGGAGTTTCCCGGATTGTCGGCTAGACAAGCGGGGCTCTCCACACCCTTGCAAGCGATTGAGAGGGATTGTCGGATGGACAAGCCTGCCCCAATGGCAATGCGAGTTTCAAAAGAGCGGCGGATTGGGCACTGCAGCCGCGTCATGTCCGATCCCACTTCCTCCGCCGACATTTTGCAGTCCGAACCTCTGTTGTGTCCGGGGCTTGAGCCTTTGAGAGGGCTTCAGGACACTGAGCCTGTTACGACTCTCCTGCGAGACGTGTGGGCCAGGAAGCCTTCTGCATCGCAGCTCCCGGCTCAGCAGGAAGGAGCCGCAGGGCAAGGGCGGGTGGAGTGGTGAGACTTGGTGCCAGGTACTGTAGCTGCATACAGTTGTTGGCAAAGTTGCAGTTCGATTGCTGTCTCGCAGGCATTCGCAGACCACCGTTGAGGCCGTAGCAGTCTGGTCTGGGATGAGGCGGCGGTCTTGGCGATCTTGGCAGTCGTGTCGGCATGGATGTTGGGAAACTACCGGTGCAGTGACTTTCTGATTGCACAAAGCCCTGTAGTATCCTGGGCTCAAAGCAGTTGGGGGAGGGTTGTTGTCTCGGCTCGCAATGGCGCTCCGTGCACTCAGCGCCCTTCTGCTGGTGGGGCTGCCCCTGGCGGCGAAAGGCTTGACCTTCTCGCACAGCCAGGGTGGTGACACCGCCACGTGGGAGCTCCACCTCCATGGCACAGAACTCCACGTTACGGCAGATTGCCCGGCCAACAGGTGGTGCAGCCTTGGTTTCAACAAGGACAAGCCCAAGATGGATGGCACGGATGTCTTCACTTTCGGCCACCATCCTGGCGTGGATCTCTCGGACTGCCACAAGACCACCTGTGGCTGTGGCTGCGGCACATCCTGTGGCTGCGGTAGTTGTGGGGGCAACAACACCGGCTGCGGCGGTCGCCGGCTGCGAAGCCGCAAGACCTCCCCGACTCCTTCTCCGTTCCTTCCCTATGAGCGCGAGCTGAAGGTCTGGCTGCCCGCTCCCCCGACGCAGCTGCGTGCAGCCGGTGCGCCACAGAACCCGAAGGCCTTGGGTGGCGTGGTGGGCATTGCCTTGAACTCCGTGCTCTTCGTCCACGAGCACCCAGGCGAGGGCATGACTTGGGTTATTGACAACTGCGGGGGTCACGGCGACACCTTCGGCCACTACCACTACCACGCTCCTCCCCTCTGTCTCCTTCGTTCTCTAGGTGTGCCGGTCCCGAAGGGTGCATGGTGGAAATCGGGTGGCGCGGAGCAGTGGGCGTCTCATGGCCCAGAAGTGCAGATCGGCTGGGCCATGGATGGCGCCCCCATCATGGCCCCCTTCAAGGGTGGCGTGCAGGTAAAGAAGGAGCAGCCGCAAAATCGAAAGTGTGTCACCTTAGCAGGTCCGGCATGTCCTGCATGTTGAAGTGCATGACATGGTATGACCGGAAGGAGATGTTGGACGAGTGTCATGGTACCGTCGACCCTGTCACCAGAGAGTACAAGTACTACATGGCCCATGGCTCAGAGTGCTGCAGCTGAAAAAAAAGTCAACAGTGGAACTCTGACCTTTTTGATCTTTTGTCACTGCTCGTCGCAGAGGTCTTGGCCCCTCCTTTCTTGCCGCCTTGCCTCCGTGGTGAAGCTCTGGGCGAGGTAAAAGGCTACCGGAACTCCAAGGGAGGAGTGCCCTGCGAACAGTCCCAGCGCTTGCCGCTCGCTCGCACATCGTTGAGGAGCTCTTCTAGGAGGGCCCTGAGATTTTCTTGAGCAGAACAGTCACTAAGAGTCACACACACACACACACTCGCACACACGCACACACGCACACGCACATGTATCGTCGGAGTCAGGATTGAAGAGCCTCTGGCCTCGCAGCTCGAGCCGTCGGGTGGACGCTGGCTCAGCGGCATTGGATGCCCCAGGCATGCGATCTTCGAGGATGTGAAGACAGGGCGCCCCATGGGATGGAAGCCGAAGTCGCAGAAGCTCACCAAGCGCCGGCTGAGCGGCTGCGGGGGCAAGTATGGCACCTGCCCTAGCGGCGGCGCCTGTGGTGCCTGTGGTGCCTGTGGCGCCTGTGGCGCCTGCGGTGCATGCGGCGGCTCGTTCCCATGTTATTGCGGCGCTTGTGGCGCTACTGCATGTGGAGCATGTGGCACCACCGCTTGCGGAGCCTGTGGCGCTGCTGCCTGTGGAGCCTGCGGTACCACTGCATGCGGAGCCTGTGGAGGATGCGGTGCTACAGCTTGTGGTGCTTGCGGAGCATGTGGAACTACAGCTTGCGGCGCCTGTGGAGCATGCGGTGCCACCGCTTGCGGAGCTTGTGGAGCATGCGGCGCCACAGCCTGCGGAGCTTGTGGAGCATGTGGCGCAACAGCTTGTGGCGCTTGTGGCGCATGCGGTACGACTGCATGCGGAGCTTCTGGAGCATGCGGTGCCACCGCTTGCGGCGCTTGTGGAGCATGCGGCGCCACCGCTTGCGGAGCTTGTGGAGCATGCGGCGCCACAGCTTGCGGTGCTTGTGGAGCATGCGGCGCCACAGCCTGCGGAGCTTGTGGAGCATGCGGCGCCCCAGCCTGCGGAGCTTGTGGAGCATGTGGTACCACTGCATGCGGAGCTTGTGGAGCATGCGGCGCCACAGCCTGCGGAGCATGCGGTACCACTGCATGCGGAGCTTGTGGAGCATGCGGTGCCGCCGCTTGCGGAGCTTGTGGAGCATGCGGTGCCACCGCTTGCGGCGCCTGTGGAGCATGCGGTGCCACAGCCTGCGGAGCTTGCGGAGCATGCGGAGCCACTGCATGCGGCGGCTGCGGTAGTTGTGGCGCGTACCAATGTCTCGGCCAGATGTTCTGCGCGATGAATCTCACGGTGATGAACGGTGCCACGCCCGTGAGCATTTCCCAATGCAACCTGCCCGGGTACACGATCGTGATCGATTCAAAGCAGGATCTGACCGAGGTGTCTTATGACATCTCGGGCGGTCGCATGAAGGCTGATTTCCATCGCAAGCTGAACACGGGCGATTGCACGGACTTGGTTCTGACCGCAGACACCCCGCTCTACATCATCATGGCCATGGGTGCCAAGGACAACCTGAACGTGGTGGCGCATGGCTACTCAGAGACACACAACGTTGTTTGCATGGGCACGATGATGGAGACGATCGAGTGCAAGCCGCCGAGCGAATGGGCTGATCAGCCGCCCACTCCGCCGGAGAGCACAACTTCCTCCGCGGCCTCTATTGGTTTAGGACTGGTGGGCCTTTCCCTCCTTGCTTTGATATAGCCCAGAGATGCGAGACGATTTTGTTGGGGTGCCGGCTGCATCAGTTCCGATATCTGAAGCAGCTGGCCTCCGTATCCGTAGCTGTGCAGAGGGTCGCTTTTTGCGGCCGGGTTGGTAGCGGTGCGCACTTTTAGCTGCAAAATGCACGACGGCGTCGAAACCAGTTACCGAGTCTTTTGACTTACATGTTGAATTAAATCAAAAGCTGCTTGGGGTCCTGTAGAACCCAGGGCGTTCCCAGGAGCTGCTTGGGAGTTTCCCGGATTGTCGGCTAGACAAGCGGGGCTCTCCACACCCTTGCAAGCGATTGAGAGGGATTGTCGGATGGACAAGCCTGCCCCAATGGCAATGCGAGTGGCAAAAGCGTGTCAATGCAGTGTGAAAGCAGGCAGCAAGAGGTTCAAGTTTTCCAGAGCCTTCGACGAAGTATTCAAAGGACAAAGCAGCGACGCCGCGGCCTGCCCAACTCTGCTATCTTCTGCGAAAGAGTCTCAAATGGACCTGATGGCCCATCACCCTGCCTCCGCGAGACGCAAGGCTAAGGGAGAAAGAGAGGCTCCGAATTCACTGTCTGTGTGCCGGCACTGTGCCGTGCATGCCGTGCATGTGCAGCGAAGTCTGGCTCAGATTGGTTCGGGGTCTGCGCAGCTCGTGAGCCGTCGGCCGCCGCGGAGGGACTCAGCTGCGCCCTGTCTAGGATAAACTGTAAGTACGGAAAGACAGCCGAACAGAGCACGACATAACATGATATTAATCAATCCAAGTGGAGTATAGCAAAATGTAACCTATCGTAGTCAATAGTGGGATATGATATACAAGAATTTCTACACGAAAGCAGAGCTGCACAAGGTTGGATATTTGGAGCATGACATAAAAACAGTGACAGTATCATAATACGGTTCAATCTAGATGGTAACGTCAAAGCACTTAAGAAGCAAGAATGATGCGGTGCAGCCTGAGTCAGTATAGTGAAATTCAACAGAATAGCATAGTGCAGGGTAGAGCAGAACATCAGACACTATGAGATCCAACAGAAGATAGGACGATCCAGTGCAATGCACGACAAGCTAACATAATGTAGCACATCACAGCATCCGCAGCATAGCACATCATAGCCTAGTACGTCATGATATAACATAGCACGATGTAGGTGGTTTATTGAAATGTAACGCAATGCAACGAAGTGTAATGTCTGTTAGAGAATGACACATAAGAGACCATGATTTGCTGCGACATTGTGAAGTGTATATCAGAGGGTATCGTAGGTGAAAATCCAAACATATGCTTTATAAAAATGTGAGGTGGTAAATACAGCATACAACAGTATCGTCTAAGATCGTGCTATATCCTGTAGCATCGCAAGTGAATATGCGGAGATGCTGCCATGACTGCAACTCAGTGTAATGTTCCGTGCATCATCGTACACCGACAGTAGGTGTGTCAAGCACTTGGACGCCTGGGCTGCACGGCCTGCAAGGATGAGCCGGAAGTTCGGGGAGCTGTTCGCCGTACCGGATCACGCTGTGTTGGGAGGTCACGGCCTGGAGATCCTATGGCGTGGGCCCAGGCCGGCGCCCCGCCCCTTGACAAGTAGAAGACAGAGATGGAAAGACGTAGGGAACGCGAGGCCCCATATCTTATTGATCATCCCCCAGTACCCGTGCGACTTGAAACAGAAAGAAAGAGACGGCACGTTGCTGACCGGCGGCCGCTGTAGAGCTTCAAGCGCACCTCGTTGAAGTGGCATTGGGTTGCTCGCAACTTGCATTGTGCACACTCTTACTTCTGAGCCTATTCCAGCGAAGCCGAACTCCCCGAAACCATAAAGTGAGGACCAATGGAAAGCTCAAAGATTTGTGTCAGGGCAAACGATATGCTGTTATACTGCCTCGAACACATCCTGGAGCCGCGCAGCCGGCTGTCAAGGGATGAGTGGGCCATAGAGGGCGCGAGGCAGGATAAAGGGGTCTTCAGAGATCGGTGTGTGTCGCGACCACCGGCCACACTGTGAGACCCCGAAGTCCCCCCCCCCCCGCCATCCATGACACGATGCTGATGTAGGAGGTGCGGAAGCCGGAAGACAGAACCGATTTTGCAGGCGTTGCCGCTTCGCCTCATTTCTGGAAGCACCTGTCATTAAGGCAGGTCAGGCAGGGGGCTGCCCGAACACCAAGTAGGATCATGTTCACTTGTGGCATCATCATGGCTTTGCTTGCAGGCGTCCTTCTATGCCGGCAATGCGTGTTCTCAAGACGCGAGCCACTGCGTCATGTTGCACCTCGGCTGTGGCGGGTGAACAAAATATCCGAGCCCAGAGAGATCAGAGACGGAACACCGATACAACCGCGTAAGATCAAGTGCAAGAGCTCTCCCGAGAATTTTGGGAAGACTGAAGGCGAGGCGGCTTCCAGTCATTGGACCACGACTTCTGCAAGGCACAGGGCCCACAGGGCTCTTCGGCTTCTTTGGCCCGAGACCTTCCCGGACCGAGGACTCAGGGCAGCCGGACTGGTGCAAGAAGGAGAGCCCAACGGAACCGCAGCATCCCGGCCTCAACTGGGGCGCCCAATGCTTTGGCCATGTCAGAGTTCTCCTTGAGGTGCCTTTGCCCCGGGAGGACGAAGCTTTATTTGGCCTGTTGGAAAGCAAGGAGAAGGGTTTTGATTTTTCTTTGGGACCCTACCAGCAGCGGCTCTAGCGCTGGGGCTGGAGCTCAGGAGAAGAATCCGCAGGAGGCGGAGAAGTTCGACCAGTCCGGCTGCCCAAACTGAGCTGCAGAGCACTGCTCTTGGTTGCCGCTCAGTCCAGGCCCACAGGCCCGTGAGCGGCCCGTGCGGCTCTGCTCTGCATTTTTTTTGCCGAGCGAATGTCCTTGGCACATGGTCACTTCCATTTGCCTCATGGCCCAGACTCAGCCTTCACGTGGCATGCGACAGAACCCTGTTTGAGTACCGCGACAGAAATTCCAATAACCGTGATGGAGTCGTCTCCAATGCGCTGGAGGACGATTGGCGATGGGAGGACCTTGCAGCCTTACCTCGACACAGTCAACAGGCTAAGCGTTGGGAAAGGCTTCATGATTCATTCAGCTGGCTTGCAGATTGCTCAATCAACGCCTTATGAGAAATACTGTTACCAGCTGAACTATACACGGCTTGCTTTTGACAACCAGACGCATGGCGAGGCCTTGTGCAAGACGAAGTTCCCTCGTGCTGGTCCTACATTGCGGGTATGGGGAACTGCTGTCATGATGCCGTGGTGGTGGCCCAGGCCAAGATTGCCAATGCCACGGAGCGAGTTTGGATGACCCCACGAGGGGCCTGGAGCCAGGTTTTGGCAGCTGGATCCTTGCCATGGGCTTTCAGCTCCCAGTTAGACTCCTCGGACTATGCCAAGGTCTCGGGCCTTGAAGGGGGTCAAAACAGCTGCACTTCATTACTATTGCTGCGACAACAAATTCTTGGATGGAGTTGGCTTTGGAGCGAAGCGGCATCTGGAGAAGGCCGGAATCGGGATCAAGCTTCACGATACGATACAGTCTGAAACGGCAGTTTCCGACATCGAGAGAGCTGTGGAACGCCTCGTTGCCTTGAAAGTAGATGTCGTCTTCACATGTTTTTAGGGGGTGGATGTGGGCGCTTTCATTGCAAGCCTTGAGAAGCATCGTGAGCTTCATGTTCCTGATGGCCTTTTCGCCGTCAACCTGCCTTGGATCCGTGAGGGTGCTCTTTGTTTGATCCATGGAGCGAAGTGCCAGCATTTGTTACGGGGGCGCAGAGCATCGCATTCCCCAACCTTACTGACTCTCTTCGGGATGGAGTCCTCGCCTTCACTGGCGAGGAGTACTCGAATCTCCTGGGAGTTCCGGGTGATTACAACCTGGAGGTTGGCCTGTCTGCATTTCTCCAAGCAGTCCCTGCTGTTTTCCAGTATTGCGAAGTCAAAGATCCAATGAATCTGCCCCATTCTGTGGCTGACCCCGCCGTCTACACAGCAGTACGCAAGTTGACTCCGGCGATGACTTCGGAGAGACGTTTGGTGGATCAATGGAATGAATCCGCCTATACAGCGACCCTAACAGGTCCTACTAATCTGCTGGTCCTCTTCCAAACAGAGTTTGCGCAGGCTCCTTGAAAAAGTTCCCTGTACCGGCTGCGCGATCCTGCGCAGCCAATTTCTATCTACAAGGTCTTCGAGATTTCAGCTGCCCGGCTTGTGCCCCGTGCCCTTTGCACAGTCAACCACTGGATCCTGGATCCGGCGCCTAAATGCAGCCGCAAGGAGCTGTACTACGAATCGAACAGTTCCGAATACAAATTATGCCCCGAGGGCGTGATATGCCCAGGTGCCTCAATGGGAAACAGAGAAACCCGTGGACCCGAAACAGGAGCAGGGTCCTGGGCAATATGCTCAATCTCGTACTTTGCGCTACCCTATATACAAAGCCGCCTTGTCAGGTGGCTCCGTGCTTGGGAACCTGAATCACAAGGCTTCTGGCGAGCTGGCCGCTTTGTGGAGGAGATCCTCCCATGCCGCGTGCATGCTTGCACAGGCCCAGACACTTTGGGGTTTGGGGTTCGGGTTAGGGTTCAGCTCAGGACTATACTTGTAGGAACACCCCAGTTCAGGTACTTCTTAGCCCAGAACCCCAAGCATAGCTTTTCTCGGGCTCCAACCGCTTATTGCGCGGCTCTGAAGCTCTATATTCAACCGACCCCCTATGTAGACCCATAAGCAGATGTGAGAGATCGTAGTTCGAAGCCTAAGCCGCGAGGTGGCAACGTAGTCGGAGACGAGGGTTGTGAGGAAGGCCACATGCGCTCCCGTTGCGCAGTCTGTTGCCCGGGACATTTGTATGATCACCAAACGAAGAAATGCTTACCCTGCTCCTCCAAAGTTGCTTCTTGGGGACCGCAACAGTGGCTGGTTGCTTTCCTTACACTGTTTCTGGTGGTTTGGGTCTGCCTGCGCAAAGGGGTCAAGAGGGCCCTCACCAGGATTGCGGGCAAAGGCGATGCACATACCAAGCCGCAAGAGATCAACCCGAAGCTCAAGATCGTAGTGTCGCTTCTGCAGGTGATGAACGCGCTCACCGGATTCTTCAGATCAACTGGCAGCACTGGCACAGTTGCAATTCATGGGGAGGTCTTGAGCATGTTCCTGGGCCTCTGCTGGGCTACGGCTTCGGCCCCCAGCGCTGCTTGCGACTTCCCGGAGCTGCGTTTCGACGGTGCGCGAGAAAATGCTGCGCTGATTGCCAACAGAGGAATTCCCCTGCAAGCAAGAGTACCCCCCACACCGAATTGCCAGAGTTGAGCAGGGCCACGCAGGGCTTGGCTTGCAGCCGAGCCAAACCTTCAGAGACCCCGAGATCGAGCCAAGGATTCTGAATAGAATCATGGGGGCCTGGATAATCCACAATATGTGAATATAAGGCAAGCTACCCGGTACCCTTATTGGTGCTTAGCGGTCATTGTCATTGCACTAGAATGTCCCCCCAAAAACCCATAATGTTACATTCTTCACCACCCCATAGACTTTAGCGCTATGCAGACATCAGTACGGTCAGCTGCCGTTTTTACCTGTTGCTGAGAAGTGTAGCAACGAGCATTGCTTGAAAGGGCAAGGTGGCAGAAGCTTTCGGCTGCAGAGAACCGGAGCGCTGGGAGTGTTTCGCCTCTTTGTGATGGGATGTTCGCAGCAGCTGTGGAATGAATGTGTCTGGAACGGGCAATGAAGTCCAAGTGCTACCAGAAGGTAACAGCAATTCTTATTGGTTCCTGGGAGCACCTGGGCCAAAAGTGGAGCACTTACTAGGAGGCTAAAGCCTGCATGCGCCTCTAGACTCTAGGCTTGGTTTGTCGCGCTGGGAGTGTCAGGTATGCCTTGCCGTTTTGGGCACGCTGGCCGGCACCATCGGCAAGCAAATGGTTCGCTGCTCCAAGCTGGCCAAAGAGAGGCGGAAGCAGAAGGAGGGGAACCTCCTCCTCCTTGCCGGTGTGAGCCCTTGCGAATTGCAGAACTGCCCTCCCACTCATCTCTCAAACCCGACCACCGGACTGAGGCCTGGCGCTGCAGGTGGCCTTGAACCCGGCCTGCGACGTCGCCGGCTACGCGCTGGCGCCGGCCTCGGTCATCGCCCCGGTGACCGGAATGGACCCCCTACCGCTCCTCCTAGCGGGATCTAAGCTCTTCTTCTTTGGGGTTCTAGGACCAGGGACCCGTCCAGAGGGTCCTGCAGGACATTGTCTGGAACACGCTGATCGCCCCCTGTTCTTTGGGAGAGACCCTGACGCCCCGCCGGCTCTTCAGCGCTGCGATCATTTTCTTCACAGCCACGACCTCCGCCTGGGCCCAAGCTTCCGAAGCACTTCCATGGCACCCAAGCGGATCATCGTAGTGACACTTCCGCTTGAGTCTTGAGCTGCTCAGCTTTGGAGGTGTTCTTCCGGCAGATCAACGAGGTGAACTGGAGTGCTGAGTACGTTCAGCATGTCCTTCTGCAGTCGCGGACCATGGTCTACGGCCTCTGTTTCACTGGCTGGCACCTGGGCCGCTGACAAAGCGGAGAGCAGAAGAGAGCAGAGGCTCTGGCTCTAAAAGCTCGCTGCTCAGCGCCTCTCGCTTGCAGGTTCCTCTTCAACACGCTGGTCTTGATGAAGTATCCCAACGGTTCTGCAGTACGCGGCTTCTCCCTCGGGGCAACTGCAGGCGCCCGATCCGCCCGCGTGACCGGACCGTCGGACCGTCGGATCTCTCTCCAAAAGAATCGCGCTTTTCCCCCCCCCCCCCCCCCCCAGCAGGCACGCTGGCAGGGAACATGTGGTGCACGAAGATTGCCCCTTGGTCTTGGTCGCCGCGTTGAAGCCCCCCGTTTTGGGGCCTCTTCTTCCCAGCAGCCGAGGTGGCTGTGCTACTGGAGCAATGCTTCGGTGGGAACTGTTTGGCTTGGACGAAACCTGTGTCATGGTTCGCCACCACCGCCGCAATTCTTTTCAGCCGCTCGGGCTCCAAAATCCTCTCTGCTTACGCCCTGCCGCCTTTCCCTCTCAGGTACCACGAACCTCTACTTCATCTCTCTGGGCCTTCAGCATTACGAGGCGCACAGTACCGTCTCAGCTGAGAGGGATATCGTCACAACAAGCGTAGGATATATGCTATCCAATATCCAACGCGCGGTGCCACTCCGCTCACTACCCGGTCCGGTAGGCTCTCTTCATGGTCACAGTCTTCATGGGCTCGAACATCGTCACCAACAGCCTCAGTGCTATCGTCGTTCTCGCAGAGATGGATGAGGCCGTGACTGTGAGGAGAAGAGCATCCCCTGCAAGAGCCAATGTTGAAGACTCTGAAGACTTTCCCAGAAGCATGCAAACAAAATCAAAAGACAAATGCACGGAGACGCTTCTTGCCTCTCACTAGTCATGACCGTAGGAGTAAAGACCGTTTGTAATCGTAGCAACCTTAAGTCATTCTCAGCACAACAACAACAACAGCAACAGCAACAACAACAACAACAGCAACAGCAACAGCAACTACTACTACTACTACTACTACTACTACTACTACTACTACTACTACTACTACTCCTGCTGCTACTACTACTACTACTACTACTACTACTACTACTACTACTACTACTACTACTCCTGCTGCTGCTACTACTCCTACTACTACCACTGCTACTACTACTACTACTACTACTACTGCAATGGTAGCTCGTGCCTATGCCTACATCACACCAAGACTGCTCCAAACTGTCACATTGCATCACCAAGAGAATCGGCCGTATCTGACAAGTACACCAGCACAGCATGATTGGTCATCGTCGTCGCCGCCGTGATCAAGATCGTGGTAGCCACCATCGTCGCTGGCCGGCGTGATCATGATGATCATCATGCCCATCCACATCATCACCATCAGCAGCAGCACGTGATGTGAATCACATCGATGCTGCTTATTCATACCCACAACAGGAGTCTTAGGTTTAGGATGTGATGGACGGGAATCGAAGCCGTATGTATATGCTGCAAGAGATTCCTCAAGAAAGAGAGAGAGGGAGAGAGAGAGGCACCGCTTAAGATGCGACAGGGAAAGCCGCTTAAAGTGACTCTGCTGACCGATTTAATCCCAGGCACTGCGATGCTGTAATTCTCGGCGCTCACCTTTGTTGTCGTTGCCAAACCAGAATGCACAGAGGCACGTAGCTGCGCGACTTAGACTGCAACCATGGCAAGAAAGATTCCCCAGACATGATCCTGATGTCATAGCTTACTCTGTGTTCTGTTTGCCACTTGACGATCGTCCTTTTTGTTTCCGGAGAGGAACACAAGCATCATACTTAGGTACACCTTAACAGCCCATAGCTGCCTTTGTGTACGTGTCAAGTCGGATGATATCCGCAGACGGAGCTTTTTCATGCTTGTGCCTCGTTGAGCTTGCCCAACAGCCTTACGCCAAGCCCGACAATTGAACTGTCCTGCTTTCTGGGGGGAGATGATGGAACCCTTGGATTGTCATGACTATTAGGAGCATCTTTGATTGAACCACGCCATGGGTCCATCCTCATCGCCAGTTGTTACGGACTGATACATCACCAACTCCCTGAGTGAATACCTACACATGCTGGTCCTGTTAGGTCCTTGAGTGCTGCCGTGCCATTCTTGTGCACAACAGGGGGAATTGGTGTCATATCAAAACGAGTAGAAACAAAGATGTTCCAAGGCAAGTCCCCTAAGGTTGGCATGAGACTTGCAAAGCCACCACTGGACTTGCAATGTGCCGCAACGGCGGGGGACTCATATTCCCCGGCATCGTCTCTTGAACAGGCTCTTGTCTTTCCTCTGTCATGCCGGGGAATATATGCCTTTGACGGCCTTTGAACTCATGTTTCGGAGAATACACCCTCGTCCGACATCGCATGCTTCAGGCTCCAGCCCATGGGTGTACTGCATTCGCTACTCACTCCCGCTCGATAAAGACTATCGGGTGGGCTTGAAGCCCGTGGGATTTGATCGTCCCCCATGCCCGGGAGAGAGAGCAAAGCAAAGAGAGAGGTACCCCCTCAACAACTCTGGCGAAAGAAAGACAGAGAGAGAGAGACGGGACAGACCACTGTTGAGATGAGTGAGCCCAAGCCCTCGTCAACTTGGGGCGAAGTAGCTGGGCGAAATGTTTCGCCGGATCAGGGGGAGGGAGGGAGCGCTGGAAGATGAACTACGTGCGCTCCGAGCAGCAGAAGCGGAGCAATACGGGGAGTCACTCCACGATGATGGAGACTGGGAGGTCCAAGGGCTGGAGGCTGCTGGAGGCTGGTTGGGGACAAAGCGGCACCTCATCTGATTCGCCAGCGCCTTCACTGCGTGATGCCTTGCATTGTCGACGTAGAGGCAGCAGTTCGCTTGACAGAGATACCTGAGAATGACAATGCATAGCGGGGCGGCGCAAGACGCCGTGATATCCTGTCGATACGGCTGAGCGCCTCTTTTTGTTGTTGCTGCTGCCTGCATTGAACACCTTCACGTTCGAGCATGTGAGGGCAGATGGGCACAAAGGTCATGGAGTAGGTACATATGTTGTCTACTGCTTGCTTGTTGCCCCTTCTTCCACTGGACTTGCACCAGCGGCTACCAGCGTGCAACATCTTGTCCAGAGGCCAACAAAGTTGGCAGGCACTGAGGGGGGATGCGAATTGGCGAATTATAGTTTTACTTGGTTGTGCGGGGCAAGCCAAAACAGTGCCGCAGCAGACGACTCGGGATGTTGGAGAAGTGGCACCGTTGTGCAGGAGACCCCTTTAGCATGATGTTGTATTTGTGATTTTGGCACTGGTCAGCATCGTGCGGACTCACCGTGTCGTGCAGAAGGGGGAGGGGGGGAGGGATAGAGAGAGCAGAGGCGGAGGGATACCTTCCCTTTCGCTCTTCAGCAAAAGAGAGAGAAGGTGTTATCTGTGAGAATCCACACCTTGCCGGCCCCTGGCAATGACCAGGGGACTGCTGAGTAACGGGTCCCTGCAAGTGAGCTGGACCAAGCCAACTAGCTTGACTGCGGGGATGGTTGCGGCTTTCAGGCCAGCACGCAGCATCGGGGACTCTGCGTTTCACGCCGGCCCGGACACGAAGCAAATGCATTGCGCCTTGCGCAGGGAAGCAGGGCCGAGCGCCTCACGCGTTGCTTGCAGGTAAGCAAGCAAGCACGCGAGAGAGAGAGAGAGAGAGAGAGAGAGTTTGCGGGAACCCTGCTTTCTTGGAACGAACACAGCGACAGCGGGAGCAGAGGCAGAGAAGGAGAGAGAGCAGTTCAACATAGTGCAACGCTGTCTTGCAAATCCTGTCGTCTGCACCGCTTCTCTGAAGTTCGGGGTTACTTGTCCTTATAGGCTATTGCACATTGCACGGTTGTTATGATGTTTGGGGAATGATTCCCGAGCTCACTCCGACAGTCGTCCTCAAGGGGTAAAGTCCGGGGAGAGCATCAAATCCTGCAGAGATCGGCAGGCGCACATGCGCGTGCGAAGAGCGGGGGGGGGGGGGGGGGGAGCTTCCCTTCTGCGAGAGCGAAAGAGAGCGAGAGAGAGAGAGAGAGAGAGTACCTGCCCTGAAGCTCCCAGGAGACTGTTGGCTTACTGCAGGGCACAGGAAGCATCTCTTCAAGAAGTCCCCCACGACAGCTCTCTAAACTTCCTGAGCTCAGCTCGTCTAGCCGCCTAGCCTTCTGACCACCCCGGAGTTTGTACGCCGCCCTTCACCCCTCGCTCTGAAGCTTTACCAGAAGGGCGAAGGGGCCCCGGTCCGGACCACTCTTTCGTCCACCAGTCTCAGACAGCTCAGAAGTACCCCGTTTGGCACTTTAGCACCCCCCTTCTGCCTCTCCGAGAGGCTCCGTGGTGGAAGCTCGGTGGCTACGTGCTTTGCATCCTTGGCATGATGGCGGGGCTGGTGTTGTTGACTGAAGGCCCTTCAAAGCGCCTGGTGAGAGGGCCATGTCTCGAAGATTTCTTGCACCCGAAACCCGATTTCTTCATGCTAGGTGAAAAGGAGTCGCCCGGCAACCACTCCCGCTTCGCACCGGCGAGCCTGGAGGAAGTTGAGCTCTCGAGCTTTGATGTGAGGTCCTTCGGGGCCCCATCCTCACCACTGGATTGAAGAGAACAGGTTAGATTAGTCATAGCAGCTTCACTTCAGGAGATGAGTCTAGTAATAGTCTTAGTGTGGCAGAGAAAATCATGGAAACAAGACCGATCCATGAATCAGTGGGGCTGGATTTCAATATATCGAGGAAAGCAGAAGAATTGCAAGGAATAGGCGCGTCACTCATCACAAAGGTACAGACGACACAACCGGTCCTTCTCAGCACGCGGTAGCGGGTAGTGCTCCCATCAGATAGTCGCTTTACATGCGGGAAGAGAGGCTGTGGTCCATCGGTCCACCCGCCGCTCCATTATGCTTTCACCTAGTCCCTCGCACCCGATGGCGAAGTTCCACTGCACGTGGGTCCCAAACAGCTCTGAGCTGCCGTGCACGTGGTGTGAGCTGCCACGCGTCTAGTCGAGACTGCGCGGCGGTTCGATTCTCTGCTCTCCGGCTCAAGCGGTGCCCAGTTTTGGTAGCCGGGGGTCGCCGTGTTTCGGGCTCCCGGAAAGGGTCCCCGCTGAGCCGGCGCTTGAGAGCGGCCCTTGGAGCTATGCCCGGTGCTTGGAGCGCGGCTGTACTCGAAGGATTCTTGGTCGTGTAGCTCTTCTTTCCGAGGAGTGCACTACTCTTCCCTTTCCGGCAAGCCTTTAAAGCCGCCGTTTCCTCAGCGCGTGGTCTTGATTCGTAGTTTATTTGGTGGAGAAACCAGGTGTTGATTCTCGTGCAGATCCTCTTCGTTCTATACGGCCGCTGGATTAGAGTCGGCCGACAAGCTCTCTGCACGCCTGCCCGGAACCTTTGCAGGTGCATACGCAGCCTACGAGATCCGCCTCTATCCCATCAAGGCTGTGCTCTAGCACTCCGAGCGCCCGTGAACAGCCGTCTCTCTCTCTCTCTCTCTCTCTCTCTCTCTCTCGATGTGTTACATGACACGAGCCCAATGATGCACCTTTATGTCATGATGCGTTGACGAATGCTACAACGCCGAATGGCATTGGCTCAAGACTGGACCAAGGCTTGACTTCATAAAGGAATGTCTGCATCTGTCTGGGAAAGGGATTGATCTCGGTGTTCCGCTAGGACTGATTTGCACCGTTGAATTTTTAATGGTAGCGGAGCTTCGGCTCTGGAGTCAGGGACTGAGACAGAATGTAGTTTGGCACTAGAGGGATTGGCGGAGAGATCAAACTGTTTCCGCCACCAGTGTACCACGGAGAGCTTGAGAAATGGGAAGATTGGTCGTGGCAGCTGAAGCGATATGTAGGAGTGTACAAACCTTTGGCTAAACTGCTAATGGACGACGCGGAAGGATCGAATGTGACCATCACTGACGATCTGTGTGAGGCATTTAATGTGCAGCAGAATCGTACACCGAATGATCAGCTTTCACTGTTCTCTAGACAACTGGCGTAGATGCTGGCGCAAATCACTGATGGTGCAGCGCGAGCGATTGTGCGCAATGAAGATACGGAGAATGGATTTGAAATCTGGAGACGACTGCATAGTCAGTTCCCACTGCCCGAAAGAGAGCGTTCCACGAATCTCCTGAATGAGATCATTGGTTTCAGATTGAGAAGTGACTAGAAAGTCATCTGAGTGAGTTCATCATACTGAAGAACAGACATGAGAAGACTACTGGGAGACCGCTTGACAATGACCTGCTTGTCACATTGTTAATGCAGAAGCGCGTGCAGAAGACTGTTGGTCCTCTGCAGCAGCATCTGAGGTTGAATGTCAGCAATATCAACACGCTCAATGAAGCAATGGAAATTACCCACAGTTACATCAAGAGCAGACACCTGACTGTCCCGAGTGGTAGGAATGATCACGGAGGTCAAGCCGACATGGATATAAGAGCATTGAAAGGAAAGGAAGGAATGAAAGGCAAAGGTTACAAAGGTGGAAGAGGAATGTACCAACAAAGGAAAGGCAAAGCATACAAGGGCAAAGGAATGTTCAAAGGATACAACGGAAAAGGAAAGAGCAAAGGACAAGGAAAAGGAAAAGGCAAAGGAAAAGGAATGAAACGAAAAGGAAAAGGTCAAGGATGTTTTTTGTATGGCGACGCGAGCCACTGGAGTAGAGAATGCCCTAAAGGAAAAAGAAGAATGTCCGCGTTGACAGCAGAGGAGCAAGGAAACGGAACAGAATGGAACGATGAGTGGAATCAGTGGAGTCCGGATGACTGGTCGAATGATGATTGGTCTTGGGAAGAACAGGATTGGAATGGTGAGTGGATTGGTTCTGTTGATGATTGGTCCGGTGACTGGTCTTGGTTTGAGGACGAATGGAGTTCTTGGCCTGAGGACGGGTCCTGGAACACTCAGGAATGGTGGACTTCTGTTGAGACTCAGCCACGGAGCTCGAATGGTGCCGCGAGCTCAGGTTCGAATGTCCGTCAGGACACCGCCAAGAATGAACCACCACAGAATGTGTCAGCTCTGACTGTTGATTCGTCGGATCAGAGTGCGCCCAGAGTTGCTAAGACTGTTCGGGGAACGAAACCTGGACTGATGACGAACTTGTTCGTTGGAGCGTGCTTGCTGATTGGTGCATTGAGTTCCGGAGTGCCACCAATGCCGAAGCAGAATGCACCAAACTTGAAGGAGTTGCCCGAGAATGATCCGATTGGTTTCGACGACAGTTTGAGTGAGTTTCACATGCAAGCTGGACTGGTCGACAAGTCATGGATATTGTTCGACAGAGGAGCTTGCGCGAACTGTTGTCCTGAATGGTTTGCGCCGGACTACCCGACGCTGCCGTTGAATGAAAGCGCACCCTCACTGCGGAGCTTGTCTGGAAAGACACTGGATGTGCAAGGCAGGAAGATTGTGCAGCTTAAATGTGGTAATGGTCACTCGCTGAGTGTTCAGTTCTACGTGTGTACTGGCATACCGTTTCCACTGGTCAGTGTTGCGCGACTGTTGTTGAAAGATTTCTGGACTGTAATGGCGAAAGACTACATGGCGTTGATTGACCCGACTGGCAATCCTGTGCCGATTGTGCGACAAGGGACACTGGTGTACTTGACGCCGACTGTGATTCCCTGCCGTGTCGCAAATGCGGCAAGATTGGCAGCAATGTGCCTGCCAGAGGATCTTGGTGCCTTGGAGTTGCGTGGAGTGTCGGATGTGCATGACTGTTCGATTGACCGACCACCTCTGTCAGATTGGTGCCTTGATTGCATCTGCTCAAGGAATGAGATCCTCCGAAGGTGGAAGACAGGACACCTGGGAGGTGAATGAAACTGAGTTGAAGTTGATTCGCCATGTGAAGGTGTGGCGAAATGAAATGTTGGACCCTCGGATCAAACTGGCAAATCGAATGCCGGTACCTGTGCTTCGCCTCACTGCCGAAAAACTGACGCACAAGATCTACCGAGACGGTTCGACTGTCACTGTTAGGGATGCTAACTTCCTGACAATGACGAAGACCAGGCCGCGTGATGAAAAGGACTGTCGAGGACGAGTGGAGTTTGGACTGACGCACAAGCCTCAGCGCAAGCATGCGCAAAAGAGTGCGCCGCGTCCTCATGATCCAATGGTTGGCAAAATGCAGCCACCGGCGAATGCTAACGTGTTGGAGATGGAGCAGAGGAATGAAACTGCTCCGAAAGTCCGAGCCAGGACCGGCAAAGAGCCAGAGGGAAAGCTCGCGTGAGGCGGAATGTTGAGGAGCATGAGCTTGAGAATGCGTTGTGGTCACTTCCTCAACATGGTGAGAAAATGAAGGAGTTGTTGTTGCAACTGTTCAATCTCCCGGATCCTGAGACTGCAGCTCCGAGGACTGCACATAGATGGATCATCCTCCCTCGATATTGGATAAGAATGCACCATGAAATGCGTGATTGCTACTTCCATCCAGATGATGCTGATTCTCCGGTGGATGGACTGTTGAGTGATCAACTGTGGGGTGATAGGTACACAATGTGCTTTGACTCGAGTGATCCCACAATGACTGATACTGGCCATCAAAAAGGATGGGCAGACATCGAGCTGCCTGATGGATCAGTTAAGAAATGTGAGGATCCACGGAGTCCCACTCAACAGAAGTGGGCTGGCTACACGTTGTTTGTGCCGCTTGATCGCCCCACGGCTGGCGAGAATGCCGATCAGGAGACTGAGGATCGGAGTGCATTGAAGCCGAAAATGCTAAAGGTTCCCGGAGAACCCTCAGAGAATGAACGGCGATTGCACGAGTTGACTCATCTCCCGTATAGGGACTGGTGTGAACACTGCGTGCGGTCGAAAGGAAGACAGAGTCATGCAGTGAAGAAGAATGATCGGCAACCTGTGATCCAGATTGATTTCTCTTTTATGGCAACTGAGAGTGACCTTCCGAAGCGCACCATCCTGAATGCCACGGATGTCCAGACTGGATATTCAATGGCTGTGGTACTGCCTTCTAAGGGAAGTGTCGAGAAGTACCTGGTTGCTGAATTGAGGAAATTGGTAGGACTGTTGGGATTGTTCAGTATGATAAGGAGGCGCCACTGAAGACCATGGCGCGGACCTGTGTAAGGTCATCGGCGGACTGTCAATGAGAGCCGTGCCGACTGGACATTCTCACAGCCAAGGGAGTGTTGGAAATGCCCAACGGACTCTCTACGGCCAACTGCGAACACTGTTGTCCCAAGTGGAGGAATCCACTGGAGTGAGGGTGAGCTCTGAATCACCGTTGTTCACGTGGAGTGTGAAGCATGCGCAATGGTTGATCACAATCGGTACATGATTGGAGCTGACGGCAAGACTGCCTACAGCCGTCGCTGGAATCGCGAGTACAATGGCTCACTGTGCATGTTTGGTGAACTGATCGGGGCAAAAATGCCTGTTAGTGGCAGAGTGCGTGTTTGCAAGGCTGGATCTCAATGGTTCAGTGGAGTGTACCTTGGTAAGGACACCGAGGCCGATGAAGTTGTGCTTGGGAATGCTAATGGTGTCCTCAAGGTCAGGACTGCGAAGAGAAGATCTCCTCCTCAACAATGGAATGCATCGTACGTCATGAAAATGACTTCACAACTACTTGGCAGCCGCGTGGAGATGGAGTTGAGTCGGCTGCGTTTGTAATGCCACCGGATCTTGGAGTGAAATGCCGAGTGAGGCCCCCTCCTGGACTGGAGCGTGTTGAGAAAGAAGTTGAAGGGAATGTTGAGCTTGAAGACATGGTGCCTGGCCAGAGTGAAAGTGTTACTGAGCAGGACCTACTACCTCAAGATGGCAATGACAGAGCTTCTGCGGAAATGGGTCATGAAGCACCTGAGGCGACTGGAGAATCGCCTTGGAAGAGCGCGAGGATTGATCCAGATGCACCTGCTTCTGAGCCGTCAATGAAGCAAATGAGAATCTCTGCAGTGCATCACATGATTGCGGGAGTGATTCCTGCTTGTAAGTGGCTTGCGTCGATTGTTGGAGTTCATGAAGTTGCTGGAAAGGACGGAACAAAGATTGATGTGGATGTGAATGCCGAGGAAGGTGAACTCGACCAAGAAATGCGACTCTCCGAACCACTGCTTTGGGAGGGTAAGTTTCCGCCTGAGGCAGAAAAGAAAGGAATGATGAAGGAAATGGATTCCATGAAGAAATTTGAAGTTTATGATGAAGTGAAGGTTGACGACTGCACCCAGGAGCAGATTGATGGCGCTCTTGACTGTCGTTGGGTCAAGTTCTGGAAGAGTGAAGATGAATTGAGGTGTCGAGTGGTTGTGAGAGGTTGTTTCCAGAGTGTCGAGAAGAGTGAAGAGGACAACCTGTTTGCATCCACGCCTTCACTGGTCACAATGCGATTGCTTCTCTGTGCGGCACTGGGAAGAAACTGGCGCATCACAATGGGTGATGTGAGCACTGCTTTCTTGCATGCCTTGATGAATGAAGAAGTGTTCGTTTGGCCACCGAAGGAATTTTACCCGGAAGGGAGATGCCTTTGGCGACTGAAGAAGGCAATGTATGGCCTTCGACAAACGCCAATACCGTGGCAAGAACACTTTGCAGAAGTAACGACGACGAACCTGGGATTTCGGAGATGCAAGAGTGACCCCAACCTCTACTGTCATGAATCTGGTCGACTGTATTAGCTTGCCTACGTCGATGACCTGTTGGTTGTAGGGACTGACGAAATGAGGAAATCTTTCATGTCTCAACTGTCAGAGGAAGTGTTGCTGAAACAGACTGGCCAACTGGCGCCAGGAAGTGAGCACACTTTCCTAGGACGACGACTGCGACTCAATGGTGACTCGATTGATGTATGCATGTCAAAAAAGTACATTGATGCGATTCTTGGTCTGTATGGAATCATGGATGCCAAGCCTGTGGCAACGACTGGGACGGTGACCATCAACAAGACTGTCCCAGATACGCCACTGAGTCCTGAAGAGCACAAGGTCTACAGGATTGCTGTTGGCAAACTGTTGTGGCCAGCACTGGTTCGAGGTGATATCACATACGCGACGAAAGAGCTGAGTCGGGATGTGACTTCCCCGACAACGCAGAGTGTCGCTAAATGCAAACACCTCCTGCGCTATTTGATTGGCACAAGAACGTGTGTGCTAAGATTGCGACCGTCGTATCAGCTTGCGAATGGCAATTGCGCCGTGGACATAAATGTCTATGTGGATTCTGACTGGGCTGGTTATTGCTCTAAAACGCGGAAGAGCACTAGCGGTGCCACTGTGAATGTCCTTGGCTGCAATGTGGTCAGCACTGCCAGAACACCAGGAACACTGGCGCTGTCCTCCGGTGAAGCTGAGTTGTATGCGATTGGTCATGGAGTGTCTGAAGCACTGTTTGTCCGGTCAATGCTGTTGGAATCAAAGCTAGCGAAGAAGGTGAATGTGATTGCGCACACCGACAGCACTGCGGGTAAATCAATGGCGACCCGCTTTGGCACTGGAAAGAAGACAAAACATGCGGAACTGCGATTCCTATATGTTCAGAATCTGGTGCAAATGGGCCTACTGAGGATTGCCAAGATTGAAGGCACGCGAAATCCCGCGGATCTAATGACCAAGTATGTTGCAGCTGATGTGTTGCAGCGACTGAAGGCGCATATTGGTGTTGTGTCTAACTGGTTCAAAGAATCTCACCACTGGTGCTCATGATACTGATGAACATGTTGCTCCTGTGGTGCATGCTCAATGGCCTCCTCCTTCCCCACCACCACCCTACTGGGAATGGCCCGCGCACCCCCTCCCTACCCGCCCTCGTGCGCGTCCCGAATGTACCCGCTGCGAACGCTGTTTCTCTGGACGCCGTTGGACTGAAGTCCACGTCGAGGGACTGTGTAGGTGAGTTGCGGTGAATGCATTGTGTGTTCTGACTGCACGTGTCACACTGCTGTTCTTTCTAGTGTAAAGGGAATGCAGCAGCTTCTTGTCATGACTGCATGTGCAATGTTCACTTGTCTTGTCATGGCGGCATTTGCAATGTTTCAATGTTGCCCGAAAACCCCAAGACCAAAGAAAGCGAGAGTTGAGAGAATGAGAGAATTTTCCGAAATGTTTTTTCTCCGTTTGTTTGCCGAAGTTCCGAATTCGCCGAATTCCCAATGGAATTTCGCCGAATGTTTGGCGAATGTCTGGCGATTGTTTTCCGTTTGGCCGAAATGTGGCGAAATGTGCCGATTTGTTTCCGCTCCGAGTGAATGCAAGTGAGCTGCATGTACAGAGTGCAATGCAAGGGACTGCTTTAAGCCTTGTGTTGCGACTGAGATCAATGTGTGTCCCTTGAAATGTTTTTTGCTGAATGTTCCCTAGTGACGTCGGCCGCCTGTAGTGTGGACTGCTTCCTTCGCTCGCCCGACTGTAGCAGCAATGGCCCCTAAGCCTGCGACTGCAGCACCGAAGAGTGGAGCTTTTGAGCGAGTGAGAATGGAGCCACTGCCGGAGCACACGTATGAGGACATCACTGCCGAGCAACTGGTGATTGATGTCGCTGCTCTGAGTGATCTCACTGAAGCTGAGGTCCGGCAGAATGGAGTGCAGAGCAATTTGGTTGCACTGCACCTCTGTAGGATTGTCCCGGAGCACCGCCAGGATTTGCATCGACTGGCGCAGGGACTGACATTGATTCATCCGACTGCGGACCCGCCTGTGGCGAACGCTTCCGCGACTGGACCTGCGGCGATTGATGCTGCCCTGGGCATCACTGGTGCGACTGGCACTGCGAGCCCTGCACCCGCAACTGCAGGAATGCTTGGAGTGTTGCCTGGACCTGACGACGAACCTGCGTCGAATGGAACTGCGCAGAATGACGCATTGCAAGAGGTGCGTTCGCCGACTGTGAGCCGAAAATTTAAAGCTGCGCTGATTGCGGTTCCCTGGGAGGCCCGCCACTTGAGGAATGAACCAATGGTGCAGCACCGGCTTAGCAGGCATGGGCCTGTGACTCTGGAAGTGTCTGCCGCCCTGACGGCAATGGACTGTGGAGCTGACCTCACCCGTGTTTGGAATGCTCTTGACACCTATGTGGCCACTGTCGTGGAGAATGACCGCGAGAGAGTGGTTGAAAGGGCGAATGATCTCGCCGATCGAATGCTGAGAGCCCAAGTGAATTTGGCTGAGACTGTATAAGAGAGAGTGGAATGATTTGACCACCCCGATCAGCACTCGAATGGTCCAATGAGCTGGCTGAAAATTTAAATGCGAATGCAGCTCCTGGCATCCAGCCTGAGGTCAATGGCCCGAACAACTGGATGATTGAGACGAGCTGGACGCAAATGACGAAGGCTGGGCGACTGTTCCTCGTCCTCGCCAAGGGGAATTGGCCTGTGGAATGGCGATCTCCTCACTATGCCAAGGAGAATGCTACTGATGCCCTGGTGAATGTCTACGACTGGCTGTGCCTTCCAATGCCGATTGCAATGAGGCCGTACAACAATGGTGTGCTGGACCTGTCAAGGTTCCCTTGCCACCAGTTGAATGGAGGAAGACTGTCCAACGGGGTCTTCGAGGACAATGAGAATGACGAGCCGATTGCCTTCATGGTGTTTCGCCGAACCAAGGCCACTGCCACCAGGCGGTGGGTGACTGGCGGACCCGGAGGGAATGCCGGAGTGAAACTGGCGAATTACTTCAATCGCCAGTTCACTGATCATATCAGCACCTTCGAGTGGAGTGGCAACGGATTGGACAATTGGAACCATGCTACTGCTGGGATTGTCCGTGTTCCAATGCCTGATCCAATGTGCCTGCACACTCCCCACATGCTACTGACGCTGAATGAGATCATGGAGTGGGGAATGCAAGCCACCAATGCTGGCGCATCCCTGCTTGAATGGCGACTGATGGGACACACAATGGTTCCACTGTGCCAAAGCATTGGTGCAGGACTTGAGCACGACTGCTCTACCTGGGACGATATCTATGAGAATGATGGCAATGAGGCGCAGATTGCTTGGAATGCGCCCAAGGCAAAGGCGAATGACCAGACCGTTGGAACGGCCCTCGCGCAGACTGCGAATGCTCTCGATCCCGGCTCCGAGATTGTCCTGCGCAAGAATGCAAAGGGCACTGTGAAGTGAATGCACTGAGCAGCCGATCTAATTTAGGAGTGCCATGTGACTGCGATTGTTTTGCAATGTGAAGTTCTTCCTGAAATGTTGAATGGATTTCTTCAGTGGTTAGCTGAGAATGAAGTTCTCGGATTCAGTCGAATGTAGCATCAGCCGACTGTCTGCAATGATCACTTGTACAGTGCAACCCGGCCTCCGAATGCCGTTTTTCTCACGACTCGAATGTCATCCAAGGGTCGAGCCAAAAGTCCGGAATGAGGCCAATGATCCTTCGTAGCTTTGATTGTCGTTTGTTTCGAATGTTTCTTTGATCGCTTCGCGAATGACACCTTTTATGCTCGTTTGTTATATGTGAATGATCAGTCAAGATCAAGGGAATGTGTTAAATGACACGAGCCCAATGATGCACCTTTATGTCATGATGCATTGACGAATGCTACAATGCCGAATGGCGTTGGCTCAAGACTGGACCAAGGCTTGACGTCTTAAAGGAATGTCTGCATCTGTGTGGTTGGGAAAGGGATTGATCTCGGTGTCCCGTTAGGACTGATTTGCACATTGTCGAATGCTTCACTATGTCTTTCTTTCTCTCTTTCGTGCTTTCTTTCTGTCTGTTTTACTTTCGTTCTTTCGTTCGTTCTTTCTCTTTCTTTCTCTGTTTTGTTGTTGTGTGCTTCATGTATTTCTTCACTTTGTTCTGTCGTTCTTTGTTGTTGTGGTTACTTTCTGTCAGTCGTTCTTTGTGTTTTCTCTCTCTCTCTCTCACTCTCTTTTTCTGTCTGTCTTTCTGACTCTCTCTCACTCTCTCTCTTTCTTACGTTCGTTATTTCTTGCCTTAACTCTTTATTTCGTTCGTTATTTGTTTGCTGTATGTCGGTCTTTCTTTCTTTCGCTCTTTCTCTCTAGGACTACGGCTACATCATCCACGAGCCGCAGCCTTGGAAGTTTACGTTCATCTGTCAAGACAACAAGCTGTAACAACCCTTGTTCGCGCCATGAGGTTTGATCCTTGGTTCAATTACCGGGCTGCAGAATACCTCGCAGAGAATGGCCTGTCGCACCCTCAGACTCGAAGGGCAGCGGCGAGCAGGCACCAGCTTGCCGGGCAGGAGAAAGTTCTTCCAATGGTATGACTACGAGTCCTGGTATCCACTTGGCCGGCCAATCGGCACAACGCCGCGGCCCCAAAGACCTTTTGGACTGCGCAGGGTTTGCATGCGATCTGCTCATGTAAGTGTGCTCGTCTATTGCAACTAGCGATACCAGAGAGAATCGGCCATAGTGTGCAAACACAAAGTCATGCAAGGGCCGACTGCACGAAAGCTATGCGCGGAGAGCGTGCGTGAGTTTCGCATCTCGCAAGTTGCAGGTGCATACCTGCCTCTTGATACAGAGCATACGTTGTAACGTCCTGCTGAACGCACAGCGCATGTTTTACGTGAAGATAGGCGTGCGGATAGGCCTGCGAGACGGGAGAGGGAAAGAGCTGACAGGCTGACAGGGCTCTGAAGACTCCTTTCTGAAACAGAACGGGCCGTGGTACTTCTTCGTTGCAACTTGGTTCATTTGTGTTGCATGGGTAGAGGCAGGTGGCGTCACCCGACCTCCACACTTGAATGCAGCTTCTCTTTTCGATTCAGGTATCGAGCACCTAGGGGAATTGCATCTTGCCAGTAGAAGTCTCATACAGTCTCAGGTGCTTGAACTGCTCCGGATTGCCTTCAGAGCGGGGGCAAAACATACTGGGGGGAAGCGTAAGATCCTTTTATGTCTTTATCGTCGTATATTCATCGCAGCTTCTTAGTTATTCCTGGAAATTCGAATTGTATTGTCAGGTGGATTTGTAAGAAGGAAAGGACGAATAGGCGTCTTCATCATCCGTTTATCAATCCTCCTCTAACTTATTCACTTATTCATGTGAAAGCTTTGTTGCGGTTCAGCTGATGCTGCGCTGTGAACAGGATCTACCCCGGCATGCAGATGACTGCGGTTTGGATCTGGGAGGCTGAAGTCGGGCGCGCAAAGGGAGAGATGAGGGAAGGGAAGGGCAGCTGGGAGGCCATGAAGATGATTGGCAGCTTCAAGGTGGAGACCCCCTCCTCCCTGGTCTTGGCGTTGAGGCAGAGAGCAGAGAGCAGAAAGCCGAGAGCCGAGAGCCGCTTGCCCTATAGGCCCTTGCTCTCCTACTTGAAGCAATCTGGCTGGAAGTTCGTGCAGGAAGCTCAGTTCTGGCTTAACCTTTTTTTTGGGGGGGCTGCCAGAACTGAGGCCTTCGTTGAAGCCCTCTTACGACTTTAGCCCCATGAGCCGGCGATCCCGGTGTGCGTTATGAGGGTGCTAGAAAGGGGTGTAAGCTGGAGACTGGAGAGTGTTGTCGAAAAGGCGTCAACGACATCTGCTGCATGATCCCGCCTTGGTTCGGCACCTATGCGCCAGGCTCTTAATCGTTGTGAGCGATCTCAGAGAGTGTGATACTTGTAGACAGCTTGTCTTGGAAAAGGGACGTAACACGATCACGATCAGGTCCCTCTTCACGGGGCTCTTGACCTACGAGATCTCCCGGAGCGTCGGGTCCATCAGCAAAGCCCAAGAGCTCCAGGAGATTGAATCCTGCAAGCGTCGCGTCTCGCTCGAGCTGAGAGGTGAACGCGGGGGTCTGCGCCACGCTGATCATGGCCATCATCCCTGCACACCTGATGAGGTGGGACGCCCGCTCTGACGCCAAGAGACGTAGGAATGTAGGGATAAAGAGCTCACGGAGCTCATCGAGCCACCGCGAGCGGTAGCGTCGAGCCGTGTTCTGAGGTCCGTAGGAGGGGAATTCGACAACGAAGCCGTGGCCGTCACTGCCATCTGCTCCACCTTTTGGCTGCCACTCGGCGAAGCACCGGCGGTGCGTGTGGGACCCCGCTGGAAAGATCACCTTTGATGAGAATTCTAATCCTTTCGTCCAGTCCATTTCAGGTGGATTCTGAGCGTTCGGACGCCGAAGCACTGGCCTGTGGGCTTGCTGGCCGGCGCCTGGCCCAGGAGAGGTCCGCAGGTGTGCTGGGCAGGGGGGCGCGTTTCGCTGTGCTCGGCTGAGGCCTCTCCTACATCTACATGGTGGCGGCAGCCGCCTTAGCCTGCCCCAAAAGAGATTCCAAAAAGTGCGGCGCACTGAAGATGAAGGCTTGGGGAGGCTACATCTTCGTGATCAACATGCAGCTCGGCAGCCACTGGCCCCGTGCGAGCTGCTGCGAGCTGCTGCGAGCTGCTGCGAGCTGCAGGGTCGGCATCCATGCCGCCATGCTTTGCGCCTTGGGCCGATTCAACTCTGGCGTTTCAGCCCCAAGAGACCGGCCGCCGCCCATGACTCCTCCTTGGGGCCCGGCTTTTGCAGGTCCACAAAGCCTACAGCATCTTCTACGTGGTGCCGGGGGGGCCCAGCAGCAAGGGCGGAGCGGAAGAGCCGCGCGCTTCTGAAGAGGTGGGTGTCCTCGGGGCGATGCAGATCCCCGTGGTGGGCCTCCAGCCGCTGCGCTCCGTCGAACAGCCTGCATCCGAGAGTTGCATCAGGAATCGCAGAAATGGACGGTGGACGGTGGGGTCCTATCTTGTTTCATTGCTTTGTATGATATCTGTTTGGCAAAGGCATAGCACCCCGCATCTGACCGTGCAGATAGCCTAACGGATCCTAAGCTCTAAACAGGGAGACGGAGGGACCGTGCTGCGACGCGATGATCCGATGATCCCGTCTCCGCTAGTCTGAGGCTCGGGCCGCTGATGGTTTTTATGGGCTTCCAGGTCGGGGCCCAAGGGCCTGGTTTCTGACTCTGGTGTTTTCTCTTCCGTAAAGGAGGAGGAGGAGGAGGAGTGATCATATCTCTCTATTGCACTCTGAGACTTGGGACAGGTTTTGGCTTTCTGCGACTTCCAAAGGAGAAGGTGTCTCCGCCGTCTTCTTTGCTCCCGTAACCTCGGGGCCTTGTTCCATGGGAGGCAGAAGATGCAGGCCATGGAGTTTGCCATCTACCGCGCAAAGGCGCAATGGCAATGGCTCAGTGGGTGCCTGCCTTTTGGGGTACGACCATCTCTGTGGAAGAGGTCGTGGCTTTGCTGATCGTCTCCACTCTCCTAGTTTGTGCCGCGTTGTACCCGACCGGGTGACCCATGGCAAGGCTGCGGCTTCGTAGTCGTTTGCCATAGGGAAGGAGGACGGACAAGGGATAGGCCTGCCGGCCTGAAAGGTACTTTGGTCCAATCTCCTCGAGAATACGAGGATTGCATAGCTCCCAGGAACAGTAAAGGCAGACGTGATCCCAGCACGCAGTGTGCAGAGAGAGAGAGAGAGAGAGAGGTGGGGACTGCCCACTCCTCGCGCCCCAGAGCAAAGCAAAAAAAGAGAGAGAGAGAGACAGACAGACAGACAGACAGACAGACAGACAGACAGACAGACAGAGCCCAGGTTCGTGAAGCATACGAAGACCGGGAACCCCTTGGTGGATTCGGTGGCCGAGCATCAGCCCGCATCAGCCCCAGATTCTTAGGGAGACGCACCAGTTGGAGAAAGGAAGTTGATGTGAGGCCAACCCGTCCATGTATGCCAGCTACTTGAACCTTCCGTTAGACTATGCAGTGCTCGGCGGCTTCGTGTGCCTGGTCCTCGACCTCTCCCACGCCCACGCCTAGGTAGGCTTCTACAGTTGCATGAGTTGCTTTGTTGCTCTGGGTGTTGTCGGCCCGGACTTCACTAGAGCGTGCAGCTCTCCTTCGCCCCCAGAAGCCGAAGCGATGAAGCAAAGAAGCAGAGCTTCGTTTCTTCAAGGTCTCGGGCGGCGCAACAACGGTTTCCTCTTCCTCTGCTTGTACGGCTTCGTGGCGCAGCACTTCTCAGGTAAGATGTCCCGCTGCGGCCTGAGAAGATCCCTGCGAGGAAATGAGTGGTGGTTTTGCCCTTCCCTTCTGCTCTGGGCTCCCCGGCGGCCCCCTGGCGGCCCCCTGGGGGCCCTGGCGGCCCTCCTGGCCTTTCCTTGAGGTTTGGTCCTGATTTGCGGGCCCATCGTCTCCGTGGCGTGTGGGATCTGGCGCCTGCCCAAGCGGTGCGTCCTTAAATCTGGCTTGCAACGCAGCTCAGCTTCTGGAGAGTCGCGGCAGGTGCGGCTTCGTCTTGGACCAGTTGATCGAGCCCTTCCTGATCCTTCTGGGCAAGAAAGGCAGGGCGGCAGCCGGCGGCAGCGGGCGCTTCCTTGGCGAGGTAGGGGTTCTAGGATCTGGTTTCGGCGCAGGATACACCCGGCCGCCGGCGCCTCCCAGCGAGGCACAGCGATGGTCGGAACCGTTGCCTTGAAGCCGCCCGCCGGGTGCCAGGACAGCAAAGCGCCCAAACCACCAGAGAGTGGCAAGAGCGAGGCCAAGGGAAAAGCCGCTGCAAAGGACGGAAATCCCCCCGGTCAAAAGCCTGGGCATGTCCAGCGGGGTCGCAGGACAGTGGCAAGGCTCGGCGCTCGAGGATCGGAGATGTCGGCAGTGAGAGTCCGGATCAAGAATACTCGGATACTCCTTATAGCCGTCGTAGATGACGACGGCAGTGCCAAGGCGAAGAAAGGTCCCAAGAAGGCTTCCGGCTCTTCACCGGCCCGGCCCCCGAGCTCCCTCGGAAGACTTTGTCTCAGTATCTTCGATGCTCTTCTTCACAGCCTACATCTGGTCCGGGAAGCTACCTGAGAGAGAAAATGAGCTGTGGTTCCTTTGATGGACGACTACATCCCGGCTTATGATTAGCCAGTTGCAGTTTCGCGTACTCGTCGTGCCGGACTTTGCTCTGTCAAGGGCAAAGCCTCAAAATCTTAAGGAAGGATACAGCAGTCAGAGTGGAACCAATGATTTTTCCATTTGCTGACGAGAGAGTCTTGATTCAAACGCACGCCTAGCATATGAACCAATGAAATCGACAAACAGTCGCTTCAAGAACAACAGGCAAGAGAGTAGTAGAAAAACCCAGTAGACGGTCAGAAAGTTGTTGTCTCAGGTGGAGCTCGATTGGACCCTGGAGGAGCGGATGCGGGCATTCGTCCACAGACCGGCGTGGTCGGGTGCATCTAGTACGTGTGTACGACATGAACAACATATATGATCCCGGTTCGGCCGAACCCCCCTCCCCACCTTTTCTGTGGTGTGGCGTGGTCTGGTGGTGGGTTGCTTTCCCCCGATGGGGGGGGATACCATTCGGCGAACCGAGAAGCGGGATCATGTATGCATTAAAGCCTGCATCGCTACATGTGGCTCTGTGTGTGTGTGTGTAGACATGTATGTGTTTGTTACATGTACGTTGTAAAGATATGGGCATGCAAATGCTTTCCATTGGCAGCAGTGCTACCCTTGACTTTGCCTTGAAGGAGTGGGAGGAGGACCAGCGCCCAGGTGGTGCCAACCAGCTGCTTCGAATCTTCGAAGGTAGGGCCCACAAGCCGCGCGCAAGCAGGACGAGTACTACCACGACCACGGTCACGACCACTGCTGCTGCTACTGCTGCTACTACTACTACTACTACTACTACTACTACTACTACTACTACTACTACTACTACTACTACTACTACTACTACTACTACTACTACTACTACTAATTACTACTCCTACTGCTACGGCTACTGCTACTGCTACTACTCATCTACTAATCTACAAAGGTTTTGATCTGCTACTAGTTCTGCTGCTACTCCTACTCCTGCTACTGCAACTGTAGCTGCATCAGCAGTTGTTCGGCAATGGGTCTGAAAGCAAGAGCAACAACCACGGCAGCCACAATCGCGACAAGAAAGCAAAGTTTCTAGCTCTCTCATGCGTCTCAATCTTTGAGACTAGTCACTGAATCAAAGGGCATTCTGGGGACAGAACGGCTCCGCCCGGCGGCTCCGAGGCCAGTTGCGAAAGTCTCAGACCGACGGAATCGCCACTTGGACTGGAGAGTCAGTAAAAGACATGCCACTCAAGATGACAGATACGCATGCGCACGGATATGCATCAACATACAACTACACATGTGCAGACAGACAGACACACGCATACCTGCATACATGCTTGATCTATCAATCCATGTTCTACGTACAAGTCGTTCGCCTGTTTCTCATATCCAGGTTGACTGTCCATGAGCTTCACTCATCGCCTTCGCTGTTTACACGACAACGAGCAACCACGAGAGACAATTTAGACTGACATGGCACCGTACGGCCTGTGCGCAGCAACCCGTCATCAGAAACAGATTTTATCAGCAACAGCAAGAAGCGTGTCCGTGTGACTGAGGAAGCCTACAGGGAGATCAGGGCCACCATGGCGCCCCCTCAGCGAAAGACATCTTGCATTCTGCCCGTTCACGGAGTTCCAAGGACAACAACCCCGGAGTGCTGGCCGGGCGAGGGGTCATCTCCCTGGTCGTACTGCTCTACGTGCGTCGCCAAGAGCCAGTTTCAGACAGTATTCTATGTGTGCGTGTGTGAGAGAGACAGAGTATTTTATGTATATACTTATATACTGCATACATTAATGGCACAAAGGAGCCCTTTATAAGTAGCAGGTGCATATGTACTTGCATGCGCATCTGTGTGTGGGTGTGTGTCTCTATCGATCTGTCTATCGAGTCTACCTGCCTGCCCACCAACCCATCTATCACACACCTACCTACTAACTGAACCTGGCAGCCGTCTATGTCTATGTGTAGATGTATGTATGCATGTATGTATGCATGTATGTATACCAGGGCGGGATAGCTGACTGCCCAGGCGCAAAAGCGCGGTTTGCCAACCGGCCTGTTTTTTGAGCCATTGGGGCTCCTCGCAGTCCGCCGTGGCACCGTCACCTACGCTCCCAACGGAGCAAGGCGGCACGACGCCTTCGAAAAGCCGCCGCGAGCAACAGGCGGCCGGCGCGCAGAGATCTAGCTTTACTTCAACGACACCACGGACACATGGGAAAACTTGGCGGCAAGTGGGCGCAACAAGACGACGACCAAGGATGGGATGGTCATGCATGGCAGCAGCCAAAGTGGCAGCTTTGGTGTGGTGGAGCTTCGGCGTCTCCCAAGGCGAAGGACCAGCCATCATGGCTGCCGGAGCATCGCCGCCCGAGGAATCCGCTGCGAGCCACGGCATTCCCTGCATACGATGCCAAGAAGTTGGACGATGTGGCAATCGTCCCAGTCTCGGAGCGCAAGACTCAGAACACGGCCACCGCTGCTTGGCGTGCCCCGACGCTTTTCAAGGCGATCCAGGCGGCGGTCAACACTAAAAAGAAGCACGAGACTCGTGTGAGCCGCTGGAGAGAGATCTTTCCGATGGAAAGCTACAATGGGACAACTATGTGCAGGACATGAAGAATACGCTGCGCACGGAAAAAGCCCGACATGCAGGAGCAAACACGGACTACGACTGCGCTACGCGAGGCACTGGAGCAGCAGAAGATAGCGTGTTGGAGCCTTGGTGGAAGCCCTTCGGCGAGTGGGAATTCCACTCGAGCCGCCTGCGCAAGCGGCCCCTTCGACGCCACCCCGTCGTGGCTCAGCCCTGCCTATGACCACTCCGCCTTCTTCGACCCGTACCATGGCCCGGGTGGGGGCAGCCCTCATTCACCCTCTCCTCCCAGCAAGACCCTCGGAGAAGCGTCGAGCAAAACGGTCCGCTATGGCTCCCTTCGGGCTAACCAGACCCCACAAGCTTGCGGACACGGATCGGAAAGATGAGGACAACATGGCAGCAGACGGGCCAGACGACCTTGGTGAACGACGACAAGCAAAGTTGGAGTGACGACTGCCACTGGTTGCGACGCGCAGGACTGCTGGGCCATCTCGCCCTGTGACCGCAACGAGCTGGCACTCTTCGATTCGCTAGCATGCCTGAGCAGCGATCTGGTAGTTATGGCAGTGGCCTGGGGGCACAAGCTCAGAGGGACGATGCCCTACAGCGCCCTATGGGTGGGCGACTGCTCCACGGTTGCACCAGCTTTTGCCGACTGCTTCCTGCCCGATCCACCACATTGACTTGTCGCTTCTAGGGGTTGTGAAGCCCTGTCTCGTGCTGGAGCTGCGCACGGTAACTCTGCACCTGGGCTGTGCAGGGCACCGAGCGCTTCTCCCCTCTTCCTCCGCCGGAGATCACCTGCATTTGGATTGTGCAGCTCGGTCGTCGGCCCCGCCATTTTACTGCCGGCCGCGTTATTTCACCCCCGCCTCTAGGTGTTGTTTTCGTTAGGCCCTGCCCATAGGATCTGCAAAGAGCGCGCAAGAGACGCATCCGTCGCTGTGGGGTGTCCGCCTTTCCAAACCATGTGCAGTGAGCCCTGTTCTGTTCGGCTTGCGGAGCTGTGGCTGTGCCTGTGCAAGAGCCACATTTGCCGGTGGCTCGCCCCGCGGCGCACAGGACCTGCAGAGGACCGCGTATATGCTGCAACTGATAGGTACTGCCCTAATGATGCTGCTTGGGATCCTTGCCTGCACCTGTGTGTACCCAGCACCTGACATCTGTTTGTGCAGGCCCTTGCATACAGGATCGGGAGCATCTCTGTCCCTGTGACTTGTTGCCAGGTTGTGGAGTTCAGCTCTACCCGGCATTCGGCGGCCTTTGGCCGATTGTTGGGGTAATTGCGATGCGGCTTGTTCTTGTGGCCGCTACCCTTTTCGGGCCAACTCTTTCGACGACTTGGTTGATGCGATAACTGGCCAACTCATTGGTTTACTTCTGCGGGCCATGCGTCCCCGCCGTTCATCGCACGCGGCCTGCATGTCTTTCGGGAGCGCAGCGACACCGGCTCCCTTGGTTCTTGGTCTTGCCGGACCCTATCTTGTCCGCAGAACTGCGAACTGCAACATTACTCATTGCCGGCATCGACGACCCTGCAAGCCCACGGGCTGTATCATGCCGGCCGCTTCCCATCAGGAGCCTGCCTCTCTCAGTTTGTTGTGTTATGGGAAGCTAGGCCAGGCATTACGCGGTTCTGGCTGCACGTGCTTGATGCAGCCTCCCCCTACAGAACCGCCAAGCTTGACCAGGACCCGGCTTCTCATAGTGCAGCCGACAGATCCACCCTAGAAAGGGCTGGAGACCACCATCTTGGGACACTTCGCCCTGGCCGACTGTGCTCGCTGAGGATGACTTTGCCCTACAAAACGCTGTGGCTGATGTCACAGCTGCAAAGGTGGCAGCACTGTAGGCCATGACCTCGAAGAAGTTCAGGTGACAGCACGACAGGCCCCGGCCAGCGTTGAGAAACTGACAGTCCATGTCTCCGACAACCGAGACCCTGTCAGCAGTCGCGTATACCCTCTCCTGCGCGCCGTCGAACCGCAGCCCACGAACTCCTATGCCCTGCTTTTCGCTTTACCGGGCTGGGCTAGTGAACGCGTTGCCTGCTTCGGTTTGACAGTGCTCGACGGCAGGCTGTATGCCGAACAGATCCCAGTATGCCACTAAGGATGCTATTTTCTTCGCCTGGCACATCTGCAGGATTCCTTGCCAGCCGACATTTATGTCGGCAATAGTTCGGTGCCCTTGCCTGACGCTGAAGAGGTTGAGCTTCCCCTCGGAGTGTGCATTTTCTTTATCCCGGCGCACGATCTGCCGGGACCACGTCTTGCAAGACGATCGCAGCTGGGAGGCAGCCTCCCAACTCCGCGCATCTGTCGATGGTCCTGTCCTGTGCGCAGTCCATGAAAGCGCACAGATGTGCCAGCTTTGAAAATGGGGATCAGACTGCGCCGGCTCAATACTTGAACCTCAGCCCGGACACGATGCTGCGGCAAGCAGCTGCTCCGCAGCCAACTGATGTTGCCTTGGAGGGTCGCCACTGCAATGAGGTTTTGCTACAGTCTCCGAGCCTGAAGACCCTTATACGGGCGCCCACCACGGACCTCGTCCTTGCGGTCGTCGACTGCCGCGCTCTCCTACAGGGATGGTTTGCGATCGTGTCCACCAGCAACTGCATCCCTCGTGTTGAGATTGATGAGGTTTTGTCCACCTTTGCACGGCTGGCAGGCACCTTCATGTTGAGCGACTCGAAAGAGTTGAGGACTCGAGGACACCTCCTGGTTCCGTCCAGGGACAGCTGCGTAGGCCTCCTTGTTGCTCGAGTCTGTGGCAGCAGCTCCAGCTCCTGAAAGCAGTGAAAATGCCGACAGTGAAGCCCTCACTGTGTTGATGCTGACTGAGTTCTGCCTGACGCAGCTACCGACGCATGCCATGCAGCAGAGGATGCGGCACACCGAAGCCGCAGTCGTTCTCCGCGTCGTGAGGCTGCTGCAGGACAGCCGCAGTCTGCAGACTCAGCCGCAGCACCTGGAGATGCTGACTCGCCCGGCCTAGCGCGGCATTTCTTGCTCTCGCTCCGGAGTGCGCGCCCGAAGTCGTGCATGTTGAGCTCCAGACCTGCACATGTCGATCGCGACACCATCCTGGCAGTGGCTGGCTTTCCGCCCGTACCCACCATTGGCGTGTATGTTACCTGAGCTACATGCGCCCCTTTAGGAACGGCAGCTAGCCGCGCTGCAAACTGGCGACTGTGTGTCGCCCATGATTTCGGCTCCTCACTTTGCTGTGACCAACCTGGATGACCGCTTGCAAGGTCCGTCCGGATGGCAGCACGATCTCCATCCTCCCCGTTGGCCTGGACACTGGATACACATCCTCACGGTCGAAGAGGACTCGCGACCACAGATTCTTACCATTATGGGATGTTCTGGAGGCTGAAGCTAGCAGAGGTGATGGCAGGCCTGCTGCGGACGCTGCCTATGTGCTGCTGTGCTTTCGAGATCTTCGTCCGCTCACCGGTGGCCTCACTTGGGGGCGGGCCGAAGCAGGCCTGGTTTCGACTCACGCCCTCACACGCAGATGTGAGCTTCACTGCCCAGTAGGATACTACACTACCATCATAGGAGGCACTCCCAGCAGAGGCGAAGGTGGTTTTGACCTCCGGGTCCAGCCAGGTGAGGTTTTGTTGTCCGTGGACCCGCCACGCCAGCATATCGTCTCAGCGGCAGTTCTGACGAGACTCCGCTCCAGTTCCAGTTCTGATTTCACCGATTCTCAGGGTTCTGATGATGATTGCCAGGGAGGTGATCAGAACTCTGAGGGCAGACGCGCGCGGCAAGGGCGTGCTTCTCGTGGCCAACCTTTTCAACGGAGAAGAGCCCGAGTGCGTTGATGGAGCGCCTCTAGATGGACTGTCCTCGCCAGGTTCCAGTCGAGTAGCCACAAGTGGATCGGCAGCTATGTGCCAGACTACCCTTTCACCTCTGTCCTCCTGACCTGCGTATGTCTACACATCCACAGTTCAGGGTGAGTGCATCACTTCGGGCAGGCTCTCCACGCGTCAGAAGCTGGCCGCTCTTTGGCTTGTCTTTCTTGAGTGCTTACCTCGTGCAGAGGCTGCAAACGCCCCTTGCGCATGGGCCCGCAGTGTCTAATCACAATCCTGCTGTTTTGCTCATTTGATGGCCATCCTGTACCTACACCTTGTCCTCCCAGATACGACGGCCCGCCCAGATGTGTCCGCGCTACCGGGTCAGGCGTGCCCTGACGCGGCAGGTCTGTCGCGAGATTCTTGGAAGACACACTCTCCTTGAGCACAGTCGACGGGAGATGGATGACCTGCCCTTACCCCGCTTGAGACCCTCATCGAGCACATAGCAGGCGATAACGGTGACACTGTGTGTGTGCAAGGCGGGTCCCGTTCATGACGCAACAGTGAGTTCACCCGCCGCGCCAAGAGGCGCAGAGTCCGTGATGAACCAGCCGCAACGGGCTGAACGGGCAGTATCCACGTCGGTCGAGGGCAGCCAGTTGTGAGATGGGTGGCAAGGCTTACAGAATTCTTGCTAGCGACTCAAGGACAAATGGGAGCCGTTCCCAGCACAGCCGCAAGACCTGCAGCAACACTGCAGCATGATATGCAACACCAGCAGCGACCGCAGCCGGCACTTGAAAGGACGCCGAGCCGAGGAGCGAGACCGAGCCCCATGTTGAACTTCTCGCCACCGGAGGGGCTATACCGGAACCTGGATGTCAGCTGATGATATCACCAATGCCGGTGAGAAGCTTGTTCAATGAGAATCAGGCGGACAGGTTGGAGAGGCACCAGCGAGAAGCGCCACATCTGTACCCGAGGCCGCCGAGCTCGACGTCGTCGGAGATCCAGGCAGAATTGGCAAGATACCAAGGCGAGTCGCAGCAAATGCAGGAGCAGCTTCGACGATTTCAACAAGAACGAGACTACTACGCTCACGTGGCAAGGGATGCGATGCGAGGCGGACTACCAGGAGAGCATTCGGCTGATGCGTTGCAAGGCGGACTACCAGGAGGGAAGATGTACAACCTGGAGGGCATCGCAGTGCCAAAGAGCAAGAGGTGCTACCTGAACAAGATGTACTACCTGGAGGGCCTCGCCGCTACAGAGCAAGATTTGCTACTTAGAGCAAGATGTACTACACGAGGGGCATCGGGCTACAGAACGTGATGTACCTGGAGGGCATCGGGCTAGAGAGCAAGATATACCAGGTGGTCAACAGGCCAGTGAGAGTACGTCAGGACGCAGAGCCAGGATCCACGTCGTCACCTGCACAGATGGACATCTTGGGGGTCCAGGTATGCGACAGCTGCAAGAAGCGCAGTCAGTCAGAGGCTCTTGAGAAAAGAGTGCAGTGGAGCCAGAGGCAGTCAAACCTGGAACCACGTCGTTGCCAGAGTTGAAGCCGCCTTTTCCGGAGTCGTCGCCAGTCGAAATGCAGGATTGGCCTCAGCTCTTGGCCGCTGTCAGACCTGTCGGACTCCCCGGGCGACTGGTGGAACAAGATCCAGGACCTGGCGCAGGTAGCCTATCATGCATGCGCTCGAACGATTGACGCTGACAGCACCCAGAAGCAAGGCCTTGGAAGAAGGCCGTTACGCACGACTCACGGCAAGTGCAGCCTCAATGATCATGGCGCAGACCTCGTCTCCAGGAAGAGTACGTAATCTACTTTTATCAGATTTTGCACCGCATCTTGACTCTATATCAACCAGGAGGAGAGGGCGGAAAAAGATTAGTCATCGAGCAGTCCACCCACCCGCACACTAAGGACACGGCCAAGGAGGCTGCAGAGGCGCTCAGAACGTGGGAGCGCTGGCACAGGCGAGCTGGAGATGCGGGAGTAACCCAGCCCGACCCAGCGATCCTGGCCAGGTCGGGCCCGCGCGACGGTGAAACTCGGAGGCGGCGTTCCGAACTTCCTTGCTGAGGAACTCTTTGAAGTCGGACACGAAGCCCACGGAGGAGACGATCATGGCCTATCACCGTCACTTGTTGGCGGAAGCGGAGGTTCAGACTCAAGGCTGGAGGATGCTGCTGGATGCTGCTTGCATGGGCATGGTGTTGGATGCTACTTGCATGGGGCTGTTCGTCCATCCGTTAAATAAAGGGGCCTCAAGCCCGGCCGGCACGCAGCAGATCGATTGAATCTGGGTGCATGTTACAAGGCAAGCACCGGCAGCTTCAGTTCCGACGCATGCACGCCGATGCATACAAAGCACTGGCAAAGCTGTGCTCAGCTGCCAACAAGCTGACTGAAGAATCGCAATTGCCGGGAGCCAAAACGTGCGTTTTACTGTAGCAAAAGCATCATTGTCTCTTGCAAAGGACACTGTTGCACACTTTCGGCCCTTCATATGCAGCACTTCTCAATCAGGAATGTGCGGTTGTCCCTGGGTTTTGCAGCATGCCTAGTTTCTGTGGTGGCGCCATCGCCGGTCACGTACCAGGCGTCTGAGCCTTGTTGAAGAGCCACCCCCTGTGCCGGTCCGAGATCGGGGATCTTGTGGGGTATATCTCAGCGGCTTTATTGCACGATGATGCCGACACCGCCCCACAGGAGCCTTTCGAGTGCCAAAACATCAAGCAGGCGCTTTTGCAAGTTGGCGTCGAGATTTGCGGAGGTTTGGAAGCTTGCGGACCATGAAGACCTCCAGGATGAGGACACTGCCTTTGAAGCTTTCCGCATGCGCAATGAAATCCCATGAGATAGTTGCTCCTTGTCGAGTCAGATGAGCCCAGCACGGGACCCCTGCAGCCGCGTTTTACACACTGTTCCGGTTCCTTGGAGTACCCCGTGCAACTCCTTAGCTGGGGAGCGCACTCCACTGATTGCAGGGAAATGCGAAAAATATACGTATACATGATTGGTGGTATTGCTCTGTTTATAAGTACATGTGTCTACCTACCCGGCCACGACTTTCGCCGTTATCCATCTGTTTCTTCTTTTGCTACACAGTTACATCACACACACACACACACTCACACACACACACACACACTTCTGCAAAATGCATAGGCGCGCGCACAAAGAGCAAGGGAGGGTGTCGTGGCTGAGGCCGTCTACGTCAGCTCTCTGTCTGTGAAAATTCCGACTTTCATCCGGCATTGTGACCAAGTAGCCAGGCGCCATGCCCAGAAAGGACAAACGCCTCTTGCTGGAGCATGCCCTTTCTTCTCCTTAACGCGAATTCAAGGTCACTCTCCAACCCACAGGTGGTCTTCATGTCGCCCGCACCCAAGGGAGCCTGCTTCATTGTTTGCCATGTCGTGACTTTACGATACATGCAAATGCTCTGACGATGATGAGTTGACAACTTTGTACCAATGCTCTCCGTTCGTCAGGCGTGACAGGCAGGGCAACAATTTCATAGTGGACGACTACTTGAAAGGCAAGAAAGCCCCAAGGCTGCTTGTGGAAGGGCAGCTTGTGTGTGCCTTGCAGGCTACCAGTGGATAGACCAGAACACACCGAAAGACTCGCGGGTCATGGCCTGGTGGGATTACGGCCCGAGCCACGAAGCGTCCACCGATATGAAAGGACCTCACCCGGGATATGGTCACGAGGTTACCAGATCACGGGCATCGCCAGGAGGACCTCCATTGCGGACGGCGCGCGCGCCCGTGCTTGTTGAGACAGCTCTCCCACAGACGCATGGCCGTCGAGGCAACACATGGAATCACGAGCACATCGCTACGTTGGGTGGGCAGCCCGAAGAACTGTTTGGTGCCAGCAAAGGCCCCGATGATTTTGCTGGCGGCCCAGGTCGAACGCTGACCAGCAGCGAGAAGAAGGCATGCGACAGCGGTTGCCGATTGTGGGGTGAACTCTCACATCCGCTGTTTCGTTGAGAGGCCCATAATGCCATCCGGCATCTGGCAGACTACGTCCTCGCCAGGGCCTCTCACACGGCAAGGCAGAGTTCGAACCCATAGCACGCAGCTCTTGCCGTATCAGGTGTGGGCCGGAGGTGGTGGCGACGACCTAGCGAAGTCGCCGCACCTGGCGAGGCCTTGCAAAGTGAGACGGAATTCTCATGGAGTTGCACATATATGTGTGTGTGTATATATATATATATATCTCTCTCTCTCTCTCTTGCGTTTTGGCGCCAGAATCGGAAACTCTGTGTTTCCGGACCATTGCGGAGACGACGACCCGAAGTGCAACAAGTTTAGCTTCTACGCTGCCTCGGCCTCGGGGCCTTGGTTTGACTTGGCAGCTTGCCAAACTTGCACCGGCGCCTGGCGCGGAGGACCACTCACCGACTCCGATGATGGCAAGGCTTCGAACTATGAGTCTGAGTACGGAGCCAGTGGTAGCATCTCCGCAGATCCTTGCTTTACAAGCTTTGCCAGCACAACGTCAGCCAGGGCCCTTGTGGAGAGCAGAGAGAATTCAACTCCGCTGTCTTCTTTTTTCAGGTCCTGGAGTGAAGGTGAACGAGAAGCTCTTCAAGGAGGCCGCTGCAGCACAGCAGCACAGCATGGCGCCGGCCGTTTCCAGCACGGCTTGGTGGAAGGTTCACACGACCAAGCACGGCTTGATGCGGGTGTACCAAGTCATGAACGTCTCTCAAGAAAGCAAGGATTGGGTCTGCGACTTACTGGAAAGAGGAGGCCGCCTAAGCCTGAGCAGCCTAAGCATGACCTGAGAGTCCGTTACTGAGCCATCGGGGCTCAGAAGATGAGATGATGTGAGAGCTTATAAGACGAGAGATGAGAGCCGTGGCCATCGGCGGAGCTTCGGCTCCCGCTCTCCCCGCTGCGCTCCCCGCTGCTCTCCCCGCTGCGCTCCCGCCGGGACGCCGGACAGCGGCGGTCGCTCAAAGCTCGCGACGGCTCGCCGCGGCGAGCCGCGGAGCAGCGAGCCGCCATCAAAACAGCGCTCGAACGAGTTTCTGGGGTCATCTGGCGGTGCTTTTCGGGGCTCTCTGGCGGTCCCGCGGAGCGAAGGCTACGTCGGATTTGCGGGCCCCAAGGCTAAGGCGGAAACACTTCCCATGGCCATGGCCAATTGGATCCTTCCATGGTGACCTGCGGCGCCGCGGTGCAGCCGTGGCCCGGATTCCCGAAGCGCTGGTCGCCGGTCTCGAGGATCTTGCGAGCCAGACGCTCGCTGCAGAAGCCGCGAACGAAGGAGAAGGCGAGCTCAAAACCCCTCCCTTCCTCCGCGCCGGCGGTTCCCTGAATCGCGCTTTTCCGGACACGATGTCCTGGCACTGGGCTCAAAATGACCAGGGCTTGGAGGCCTTTGCTTCGGCGGCAAGAATCGCACCTCGCACTGCACGCATTCAAGACCTCCCCGCATCGCTTCTCGTCGCCGTTTAAACCCGTGGCGAGGTCTTGAAGCAGCTGGGAGACGAGTGGGCTTTGGTAGCAGCCTCCTTCGTCGTCGCCGAGGAGACATGTGACATCATATTTGACCTCACTTATGACTTCTTCCCGCTGGGGGGGGGTGTTACACCGGTGTCAGGGCGGCTGCGCAGACACCGCGACGAAGTTCCACGTCGACTTCGGGCCTGTGGCGATCCCGCGCGGCGCCGCCTGCACGGCTCTGCTGCCACTTCACCCAAAGCACTTCCCGGAAGACCAGGGAAACTTGGAACCTGGGCCAAGTCCAAGTGGAAGCTTCTTATGTAACTTATGGATTGTAGACTAGTGCACATTCTTGACGTTGCCTTCGCGCTCAAGAATTGCGTGTTGCTTTCGTTTTTGTGAGGGTGCTTTTTCAGGAGATCATGCCGTGGGATGCTCCGCCGGGAAAGAGCTGCGTTCACCGCTACTCTCGTGGGAATGCCATCGTCTTCGATGGCAAGCTGCCGCACCGCACGCAACCCTTCGCCGCAGAGACGTTCGCCCAGAGGGATCGTGGCCAGGTCGCATGGAGACCTGCCGTTTGCCGAATCGTGAGAATTCTCCTTTACGTGCGGAGGCTGTGGGCTGTCTCTCATGGCTCTTTGTTGTCTTGAGGCGATGCAGCTGCATCGGCTGCATCCCTGCGTGGACGACGCATCCTAGCTTCCATGAGCTTCGCACGCGTTTTAGGCCAAGCTCCCTGGAATAGCGCCGTGAAGCAGGCAGGCCAGCAGACCAAAAAAAAGGGAGGTGAAAGTTTTGAGATTGAGCTTTCTTAAATGAAAGTTAAAGTAGTTTACAAGGCTTGCAGGGACTATGGCCCTCAGTGCACATTAAGATCAGCCTCTGATATTTGGAGGCGCCACATGCAGTCAGCTGGCTTGATTGAATCGGGAGGTGTTTCTGATTTCTGCAGAGGGTTCAAAGGGGGCCCTGTGATCCATAAGTCTGAGCCAGTGCATGTTTCCCTGCAGGTGATCTCAGGCTACGGTGCGCCGGTGCTGCGACCTGTGAGAAAAGTCTGCAGAGTGGAGCCTTGAGCCTTCTGGGGATGTCGAACAGAGAGATGGGGTTCCGCTCCGAGGTTGCCGACCCGAAGAACCGAGTCTGCGATGCCCCGGGCAGTTGGTACTGCGTTGGCATGGAGCCTACCGTACTACCGTTCGTCTCTTGCACCGACTCGCACCTTCTCTCCTCGTCTCGGCTTAGGTCAGTATCCCCCCGCCCTGGAGAAGCCCTGGCCTTCCTCTGATTCCCAAAGATCTTTGCATCAACGCTTGTTCTCAGGCTGATCGCGAAGCGCAGGAACTTCGCACAGATCGAGGACTTCAATCGGAAAGGTGGGAAGAGTGTCTGAGCCTCGGACCGGACGGCTGCAAGCTTACATCTCGTGGTGCTCGAAGCAAGCGTTGGCGCGATTCTAAGGCCTACACCAAGCTCATCGAAAAGGCGTGCTTTACGGTGCTTGGATGTTGCTCCCTCTCTCTCTCTCTCTCTCTCTCTCTCCCTCTCTCTCGCTTTCGCTCTTTGCTTCAAAGTGCTTGAAATCTTGGCACTTTCCTGTGCTGGCCCTGCTGGCCCGTGGCCATCTGGAGGAGCTGCATGGAGCCTCCGCCTCGCACGAGGATCTCTGACGTCCGCGTCCGAGTTTCTGAGAAAGAGCTCAACGTTTCTCTGCGACTAAGCTGCAGGGCGCTGCGGATCTGGAGGAGCGACCTCCACATCCGACAGAGGCACCGGCGGCACCGGCTAGCCCGGCTAGCCCGGCTAGCGTGCTGCTATCGTACTGCCGAGCGGCTGAGGGCCGAGGGCCATCCGTTCCCCAAAAACTCGCAGCAGAGCAGCGCTCGAAGCGGCAAAGAAAAGGAGGCCTCACGCTTCGCAGCCGCTTCGCAGCCGCTTCGCATGCTCTGCATCTCTCAGCTGCCTCGGACTCCGCGAGAAGGCTCTCGTCCTGTGCCCACCTAAACTTACTGAACTTTCGGCGCGAAGGATTCAAGGATCCCAAAGCCTACACCAACGCTGTCAAACGAGGGAACCTAGCAGGGTTTTTGTCCGGTGTTTGGGGTCCCTCAGGGCCTTTAGGGGCTTCGATGCCTTCAAGCTTTTGCTGTGTGTTGGTTGCTCTCCCGCAAGAAGCGCCAAGGAAAGCTGCACCCACGAAGCTACGTCCGGAATCTGCAAACACCCGGTTCGCCGGTGCAAGTCGCCGGCCTTCCACATCTGCCTGGTCACCTAATCCCAAGCCTTACATCGGAAGCTGAACACCCTACAGCACCTAAGACCTAAGCCTAAGCACGCCAAGAGGCCACCATGTGCAAATGTAAGACCTCTAAGACGGGACCACTTCATGTCTTTCAGCGGGTTCCTGCCGCCGAGAATGTCTCTACTGCGAAGCAGCAGCAATCTCGTAATAGCCGTCAGCCGAGAATGTCTCTGTTGCGAAGCAGCAGCAACCTCGTAATAACCGTCAGATTGAGCGACATGGCATATTCTATCTACGTATCCCTGACGTCAGTCACACGTCGACATGCACTCGTAAATTTAGTGTTTCTTTCAGAAGCCGCCTTGCAAGCCCACATCGACGTGCAGCACCAGCGTTTTTGACAGCTGACAGCGATGAGCTTCAGAGCACATGCGGAATGAGACTCCTCTCCGGTCTTCGCCGAGCTTCCAGGCGGTTGTAGGGGCAAAGGAGTGAGAATTGTGGACGGTTTTTTGAACGCAACGCTTGGATTGGCTATGGGCTCTTTCATGGTGCACACAAGATGCTCACGAGGATCTGCCCATGATGCCCATGAGGTTGATCGTTGTGATGCGAACACCGTAAACCCTATAAACCCTAAGCGACCCTGAAGCTTAACCCTAAACCGTAAACCCTAAACCGCGAACCCTAAACCCTGAACCCTGAGGCTAGACCCTAATCCCATGACCGTAAATCCTCAACCTTGAATCCGCGAACCCCGAACCCAACAACCCAAACCGCAAACCCGTGAACCCTAAACCCGGACCAACCCGGAACCTTAAACCCTAAACCGTGAGCAGCTTTGAACCCTGACCTGCAAATCGTAAACCCTAAACCGCAGCCAAGCCTGAACCTCGAACCCTCAACCCTGAGGCTAGGGCGTACTCCCGAACCCTAAGCCGCAAACCCTAAACCCAAGTCCTAAACCGCGAACTCTGAACTCAAAACCCCAATCCCAAACCGTAAACCCCCAACCCAGACTAACCAGCCCTGAAGCCGAACACTGAGGCTAAACCCTAAACCGTAAAACCTAAACCCTAGCAATAAACCGTGAACCCTGAACCCAAAACCCAAACCCAAACCCCAAACCCTGACCAAGCCTGAAGCTTAATCCCTGAACCGTAAATCCTAAACCGTAATCAACCCTGAACCCTAACCCTGAATCTTGAACCCTGAGGCTAGACCCTAATCCCAAACCCTAAACCGTGAACCCGAAGCCGTAACCCTAAATCGCGAACTCTGAACCCAAAACCCTTGAACGTTGACCCCTAAACCGTAAACCCTAATCCTTAGCCAAGCCTGAACCCTAACCCTCAAGCCGCAAACCCTAATTCCTGAACCCTGAGGCTAGACACTGATCCCAAATCCTGAACCGCAAACCCCAAGCCTAAACCTAAACAGGCAAACTCATGCTTCACCCTACTGAGGCTAAGCCCTAAACCGTAAAACCTAAACTCCAGCAATAATATTCGGACCTTGAACCCGAAACCCAAACCGTACACACCCAAACCTGACCAAGCCTGAACCTGAACCCCTGAACCGTAAATCCTATACCGTAATCAACCCTGAACCCTCACTCCCGAATCTTGAACCCTGAGGCTAGATCCCAAGCCCAAACCCTAAACCGTGAACCCGAAACCGTAACCTTAAATCGCGAACTCTGAACCCAAAACCCCAAAGCCAAGCAGCAAACCCGAGACCCTGACTAAGCCTGAACGTTAACCCCTAAACCGCAAACCCCAATCCCCAACCAAGCCTGAAGCCTAACCCTCAAGCCGTGAACCCTAAACCCTGAACCCTGAGGCTAGACACTGATCCCAAACCCTGAACCGTAAACCCCAAGCCTGAACCTGAATGGGCGAACGCCCGAAGCCGTAAACCACCCTAAATTACCCCAAACCCTCATGCTTCACCCTAAGACCCGGAGCAGTTTACAGGGAAAATATTCATGCATCTATTTCCCTGAAAACTCCGGCCCGCTGCCGTAAGCTTAAACCCTGAAACCGTATATAAACCCTAAACCGTCAACCCTAAACCCTCAACCTGACTCTAGACCCCAATCCCATGACCGTGGGCCCTGAACCCTGACCCCAAACCGCGAACCTTTGCGAGAAAGTCCAAGATGCAAGGTTGAAGCCCGATCCCAAGCCAGAGAAGTCACAAGTGATTTCATGCATTTTGCTGAGAGGTGTTGCAAATTCGCTGGCTAGAGAAGTCACAGGTGACACCAGACAGAAGTCACAAGCGACCCGCCTCTCGAGAAGTCACAAGTGACACCCGACAGAAGTCACAAGTGACCCGCCTATCTTTTTTAGTGGCGTTTTTCATTTAAACAAGGCGCGTGCTTGCGTCCCGATGGGAGTGTTCGTGTAACCCTCGAACTTACTGTACAGATAGATCTATACATCGGACTGGCCAGGAGTGAGATTCAAGTCGGGAAAAGAGCTGTGCAGAAAGCCGCAGCGAGTCGAAACACGATGACACCCAGGCAATAAATTTTCACAGGGATATCCTGGGGCTCCTGCTGTATTGGCTTTATTCAATTTTCTAAAAAAAACGACATGCTCCCCCCATGTCGAAATCAACACCATCTTGTTTACCTTGTGCAACTTATCAAACTGTGTTTTTGTATCCTCTATAATTTGTTGTTAAAGGTATCTTTCATGATGGAATAATGCTCAAGCTCCAGTAAAAGGTGACGAAAAATGATACTGTTTGTGTTCGCTCCTTTGCTTTATTGACTGTTGTCTCAATCCATTCCTTGATTCCTTGCTGTGACATGACTTGTGCAGACTTGTTGCAGACAGATGTGCTTCTGTATGAATATCATTTGGAATGAAAAAACCTCAGTTCCAGAATACAGTTATCGGCAGCAGGTTGTCTCTTAACTCCCGTCCAACCTTTTCCTCGCACATGGTTGGCAGCGATGCGATTTCCGACTGTTTGATTTGCTAGTTCCGCTCTGTGTCATTCTTCCGCTGTGTTCACACTCATAAGATTTGCCATTGGCTTTGGTATATGTTTTACAGTACCCTTGCTCTATTCGTGCGATTAGATATGCCTATCCGTTGAAACGTTCGTCACTTGCTTTAACATCGTCTTTGGGTGATTCTTCTATTGAGTTGCATAATGCATCCTCAGTGAATATATACATAAATATTATCCGATAAAGTTACGTTTCCTTTAAACTTTAAATAGGTTTGTAAAAAGGCCCTTGCAGTGAAATAAACTACTTGCACGCTGTTGTGATTCCACCGAGCCACCCTGAGCACTCGGAACACTATGTTCACCTCGATGTTCAGCTGCCGTCGTAGCCACGCACGTCGACGCTCCATGTCGTTGCACGACCAGCTGCCTGAAACAGACTGCTCCGAGGGTCCGTTTCCACTACCCTCACTAGATTGATTCACCTGACGAGTTGCAGCTGCACCTGTCCCACTCAACAATCCTTGCGCTTCGCTAGTCCCAGCAGAAAAAAGGCTCTGACCGTCTGCAGTCTGGACTTCTGGTCTCTCCTTCCAAAGCCGCAGGCTGACCCGTCGATTGGGTCATAACCTTTGGATGGTATAGGGCTTTGCAGATGCTAAGCCGTCGGATGTCTTGTCAGCAGTGTTCAATTCGAGCAAGGGCCAAGGCTTGCTTTACAACGGCGAACGAGCAACTTGACGTGTAGAGCGATCTTTACAAGCTCTGTCTGTTACCAAAATCACCCCATGCCTAATGCTGCTTTACATGTAAAAGCGAAGCGTGAGATTATTCTCTCATGCCTGATGCAGGTTCAAACTTCATCTGAAACACACAGCAGCGTGTCCACAGATGTTTGCAAGCAACTGGAGGTTGTTCGTTATTGGCAAATATTACATCGTAGAAAGATATGGAATATGGTATCAAGGACTAAACACAGAAGCGAAATGTCACGATATTTAACCGTAGGTGTTATGTAACGCAAGACCATCACCAGTTTAGGTGTAAATGTAATTAGGTTTGCAATAAGCAGGGCATGTTATGAAAGCCATGAGCTGACAAGGAAACACTGCCAGTAAATGAAAAACATACCGGAAAACAGAGTGCAGAAAGAGTATGTACACATGATATTTGTGCTAAATGTCGTTAAACCAACACATGAAGCCTAACCATGAGACTATGCATAAATCACAACGGACGACTACCTCAAAACCAAATCAGACCAGAACCAAATGTAGAACAACCACATGTTGCAAAACAGACAGAATGAAGCAGAAACCCAAGACAAGAATGTGAAGCAGACACCTAAGGTTAAGAATAGGGATTCAGATGCCACACCTTACACATGGAAGCAATTGCCTTACACGACACAAACCGCAAATAAGATACCACACATTGAGCATAGAAGGAGCTACTTCAAGAAACAAACCGCCTTAGCAAAATACATGGTAGAGGAGGCAAGAACTGATTACGATCTCTGACGAAACGAATAAGGTAGTAAACGGGACGGTGTTGTGGAAACCGGAGGGAGCATGTTGTGATTTTGCAGAAAATTGACCACAGCTCGTCAATGGAAAAACGAACAAAGACATTTTGGAGACGCATACCAATGGCAAATTTTGAAGGAATCGGTCTTGGTGGGGCCCTCGCATTGAGGTCCGGATCACGGAGGTTCATCGTCGAAGTTTGTCAGAAGGTGCGGAGATGAGGTCGGCCGTGTTGTTTTGCGTCCTGCTGTCTGACTCAAGGCTTTCTTCATTTCAACTCGGTCCTTGCCGTTTCCGACTCGATTTCCCGACTGGCCAAAACCAAAATCTCGGAGTCAGGTTCGGTTCGTTCCAAAAAAACTAATTACGCAACCATGCCACCGTCGTGAACACCGGAGTGCCAACAAGTCTTGGGGGCGCGCAGGCTCAGAAACCGGCTTGCTTTCGAAGCAGATCACCTCCGAGACGCACGAGCAGCTCGCGAGAGGTGACCCGGGGCAAAAACCACGGGTTTTGCAGTTCTTGATCCGAGCCTTTCATGAAACGAAAGGAAAATGCACTCAGGCTTTCGTCATGCGAGAAATAGGTGCATGTGCAGACAACTGGGCATCAAGGCCTTGAGTCCTGCCGTCGCTGGTGTTGGTTTTGATGCGCATATGTTTGGTAACTGGCACCAGGCATTGGAGAGCAGGTTTTTTTTTTGTGCCATCTAACAATCTATCACATTGTGACAGTGTCTTGTTCAGGCGCGGTGCTGCAGCGGATGTCCCAGCCATTTGCCTCAGATGTCGGGAGTCGCCGCGAGAGTGGTGGTGTTGCCGGCATTCCGAATTCGGCTCGTTTCTCGTCGGGCTTTTGCTCAGAACCCAGGAAGCTCCAAGCCACAAGCCATATCGATCGAAACACAGCTTCCCCGTGCGATGGAGCGCTTTTTCGTGCCCGGGTCGCGCATGGCCATGCAACGGCTACGCACTGGGCCTTGTTTTGGAGCCTGGAAGCCTTGGGGAGCCTGGGACGGCCAGTCTCAGTGCACGGGCCACACGGGCCACACGGGCCACGCAGAGCCGGGCCAGGAGAGCTTTGCGTCCTACAGTTGGCTCATCCGTGGGCGGCTGGGCTTGGAGCCCTTGCTCCGGGCAGAACTGCAGCAGATGCAGCGGAGTCAGCCCTTACCGGGTCACGGTTCCGTGATTTTGGGAAGTGCACCCTGCACCAGGAGGGCGTTTGAGTCACCTGAGGGTTTGGAGGCCGAAGGGCTTGTGGAAGTCCTGGGCCCCTGGGATGTGTTGTATTGGACCTTGGGATGCAGGCTGGCTCAGAGCATCTGGGTTCGGGTTGGCGAGCCTTTTGACTGCGAGACACCGCAGGCACTGGAGGAGGCTCTTCAGGAAGTTCCTTGGGACCACTTCGTAGGTCCAAACCAACTGCTTCGGACTGTTGCTTGGGAGCGCGAAAGCCGCCTCAATGCCGGGGAGCTCTTGTCTGCTCTTGCAGCGGCGCGGCGAGCCGAGCGAGCCGAGCCACATGCCGGAGGCCCCGAAAGCAGTCTCTGCCTCCGCGCCGTGCTCTTCCGAAACCGCTGCTCGCTGGAGCTGCTCTGTGCCTCCCGCCTGGGCCTCCGCGAAGTGCACCGGAGTGCGGAGCGAGCGGAGCGGGCGGAGCGGCGAGCGGAAAGGCCCCCCACCGCTCCCGCCGCGTGGACGCTTGCATCGGCAATAAACAAGTCCAGCGAAGCTGAGAGCGCCAGGAAGGCGCCGGATTTGGATGGCACCTTCGTCGCTGCCCTCGTGTCGCAGCTGCAGCTCTCAGATGGCATGGTTGTGTGGGACCCGTTCTGTGGGAACGGGCAGGTTCTCTTGGAGCTCTTGTCGGCCACGCTGCAGCTTCCACCGGTGAAAGCCATGGACCGGCTTCCCTGCTCCAAGCTGCGGCCGGCTTTGCAAGTCGAAGAGGTTCGGACCCCTGAAAGCAGTTCCCCGCCGCGGGCGCCTCAAGGCTTGACCTTGGTGGGTTCCGACCGGAGCATCTCGGTCATCCAAGAAGCGCGAAAGCGATTGCTCCACTTCTGCGACTTCTACAGACTGGAGCTGCAGAAGCTTCAGCGGAAGCTGCGGAACCGGAAAGCCGAGCCTCAGGCCATGCTCCAGGCCACGCCTCAGGCCATGCCCAGACTGCTGCATGGTCCCACCATCCTGGAGACGCAGCCGCCAAGACCTGCCGCTGAAAGCTCCCAGAGACGATCCAAGAAAGCTCTGAAGCCGGACACCAGTCTTGGCGAAGGCGAGAGATCTACGGAATCTACGGCAAGCACCTTCTCCTCGAGCGAAGAGGGTCTTCCTTTGGATCTCGAGGTCTCCTTGAACGCTTGCAGCTTCGAGGAGATCGCACCTTTTCTTTGTGGGTGTGTGATCGTCACGCGCGTGCCTTCCGAGGCTCGAGGCTTGGGCCCGACGGCGCGGACAGCTTTGCTCTACCGGCGCTTCGGATCCTTCCTCGCCGGTCGGCAAATGCTAAAAGGGGCTTACGTTCTTTCCGACTCCCCCGTCTTTCGACGACAGACGGGGCTCCAGTGGCAAAGCTTGTGCCGCTTCCGAGGCGCCAGCGGCCGTGTCTGGCAGCTCCTGCACTGGGCACCTTGGGCCAAAGGCCTCCCCAAAGGGGCCAAAGCGACGGAAGAGAAGTCTCCGTCGGGATCGGACCTGCAGCCAGAGCGCCGGCCGCGAAACCGAAGCTGGGAGCGTGCGCCGCGCCGCGGCCAAAGAAAGCCCCGCTTCTTCCCCCGCACCGGCCACGAGCACAACACCTGAGAGATGCAGCTGAGAAAACGCGGGCGCCCCGCGCGCCTCAAATATCGCCGATTCCATTAAAGCTCTGGGTTTTTTGCGCCTTCGCGGAGGCCCCACCAAGCTGCCGGGACTCAGAGACCGGCAAGAAGTCCGTTGACTTTCCGGCCCAGGGCCTATAAATTATATATGCCGCATATACGAGGCTTGAGGCTTGACACTGCCCAAGCCTGTGTTGTCTCAGGTGAAGCTGGACGTCCTTGGTGGAGTGTTGCATTCTCGGGGCTGCGAATGCCGGCCTGGAAGGCTCGCCGGATCTTTCCTCGATTTGCAAAGGCCAATTCACCTGTACACGGACGACATCGACGACAAGACGGAGCAGCAGCTCCGAAACCTTTCCCGCCCTTCGCCTGCAGGGTTTTTCCCGCCAGCGTGGCATGTCTCAGACCGATGCTCAGACGTTTTTTTCCAGGAGCCGGCATCGCTGTAGGCTATGTCGCCGCCATGTCAGAGTCT